CTTTGAAAGCCTACTTTCTAAATTTTTATTATTTCTATTAGGAAGTTATGTATGGTAATGTTTTTACTCAGTTTTGTTAAAGGGGTCCAAATCCGCGGAGGGGAGTCCATATCCGCTAGCGGATTTGGACCGGGGGGTCCAATTCTAGGGGGGTCCAAATCCGCTGGGACACCGGTACGCCAGATGTTGTTGCAGATTGCGGTTAGGGTGGTGATCATTGTCTCGCCTTCTGCTTGCACCATTTCAGCAGGTATGTTGTCGATCCCTGCTGATTTTTCTTGTTTCAGCGCCTTGACTGCCACCTCAACTTCCTCGCGTTGGATGGATTGCGGGTCCTCACCTGGTGTTGCTTGCTGGCAATGCAGTACTGCTGGATCTCCGTCAAGCTGATGGTTGTAGAGCTCGGAGCAGTATTCAGTCCACCCTTCCAGTATTTCCTTTTCTTCAGTGAGGCATTTCCCTGCTTTGTCCTGAATGCTTGTTGGTCGTCCCTGTTTTCCTATGGTGAGGTCTTAGACCATTTGGTATGCCTTCTTTGTGTTGTTCTACAGAAGGTTTCTTCTATTTTGGTGTATTGGTGTTCTATCCAATCTCCTTTTTCCTTCTTCGACTCTCTTCTGACTCTGTTCTTTGCTTCTCTGTACCTCTTGGCTCCCTCTGGGTCACCTTTCCCTTTCTTCAATTCTCGCCTTTTGTCACCTGAGGTTCAGGATCTCTGTTGCGACCCTTGTTTTTTGGGGGGCGCTAGTGTTTTCTAGATAACGTTTGGTGACATTCTATGACAAGCTGTTTAAGTTACTGACTTAACTCTACCAATTTTTCTACTAGATACCTTGGGCTAAACTATCTGCATGATTTTGAGGAACTGGCCATTGACTTGCAACTGACGTGCACAGCGAAGATCATCTTTCAGGCCAACCTCGTTCAGTTTCCAGGGTCCTTTCTCTTCCTCCATCGAGGAAGTCCTATTTCTCGAATGTGAGCGACCGTTCATTCCCATACAAATCCTAATATTTCGCTTACTGATAGCCTTAAACATTTTGACACCCGCACAGACTCACCAAAACTCACCATTTAATCATGTTATAAGGAACATAGTTACAGGAAAAGTATTCCTGATACATCACTCCCCTTACGACTGCTCCCTAATTTAATGTGAATTTGTCTACGTTTGTCAAGCCCTAAGTTACCTGGTGAGACCAAATTGCCATTTTCTTCTTACAGTGATATAAATCGTCCCCTCCAGAGCGAGATGCGAGATGCAACAAGGGGTGGAGGGCACAAGTGGAGGAGCACGAAAAAAACCGGCAGTCCCTTTTTCGGCGTTGTATCCCTGATACGTAAATCGCCACCCTTTGCGTCCTCCTCACACCCGCGAATAAGTGACACTTCGCTGTTCACGCTTTCTTCCTCTCGCTCTTAAATTTCCCTCCGCGCTCTGCTTGTGCTAGCAAAAACACAACGCGTTTATAATAGCGCGCTCTCCCAACAGTTGTCTCGCATTTGTCTCTGCTTGGCTAAAATACGCATTTTTGTTAGAAAGATTACAACGTCTATCTCGCAAGCTATGTCTGAGGAGTGGGGTTGATCCTATGTTTCCAGATACTGCATGGGTGTTTCTAGTGACTGATGTATACAGATTATGTGTGGAAGATCAGACAAATCTTAGTAGAGTTGGGTTTGTTGTACCCTGTAAAAGAATTCGGACACTCCAAAAGGATTAAATGAACCATAATTGTCCTGTAGAAAACAATCTACAGTTTGGTCTTCCCCCGGCTCAGGTCAACTGCAATTGCATAATTATTCCAATTTAAACACTTTGAAATTCAGCTTTTAACAATAAATCTTAGCATACTGATCTCAGGAATTTACAGTAGAGTTTGCAGGGTAGTTTCCACAGGGGCAAACAAAGGTGGGTATTGCTTACATATTTAAAAAGAAAGTCTTAGTGTTCCCCTACTAATATTTTGACCAGCACTTCTGGAATGCATTATGCTGGACATCTGAAACAAAGGATCTAGGAATAGGATTTCCAGCTTAGCAAATACTGCAATACAGCAAAAACTGAACAACTAAATGTGCATTTATTATTTAGCTACAGTCCAACAAGGACAGTTCTTTCCAAACCTACCTGAAACACACTAAACTAATTCATTAAGGTCTTATTAAAAGAAAAGATACTACTAAAAAACTCAAAAGAAATAGAGAAAGTTTGCAGTGGAAAGATAACATTTTTTAAATCCAGTTTCTCTTCACAGAGAAAGATGCACCTCCCACAATAAGCATGTTCCGATAAACTTTCTAAATTAGGGTTTTTCTTTGTATTATTTAAGAATGATCACAATTTCTTGTGTTTCTGGTAATACTGTTCAAAATGTTTGGTCAATGGACTTTTCCTATGAATGGAAATACTTGTAAGCAGCAATGGCAACCACAACAGCTACAGCTCCTGCAGGCAAAAGAATGTTGTTTATCCTGCAAAAAGACAAAAAGAAAACAGATCAATTGGCTGATGCTATCTGAGAACTACAGCAGACATAATCAGTAGCATGCCTATGTACGTATTGTTAAGGCATCTTTTTCTTGCAGCAAGTTAGTGCTTTGAAAAATTCAAGTTACATTTTGTCAAAGATTTCAATTCACAATGCCAGCAAGGTTCCCCACCTAGCTAGTTGCCACTTTGTTAAATTTCTGTTCACTTGTTACTGAATGCAGCTGTAATTTCAATTGACAAAGAAATATATTAGCATTCCTTTTTATTGAACCATTAAAGAATCCTGATATATCTTCCTTTATTACAAGCACACCTAAAATAAAGTGATCAGTCTCTGGTAAATGATAATTTCAAAATTATACGATTTACAATCAAAGATTACTTTTTATCGATTTTCTAATTTTTATCCCTTCTTTTACAATGCAAAATTTTGGGGAAGTATGATAAAGCAATTTGAAGACCATGAATTTCAGATATTCTATCGGTATTATTATCAATTATTAATATCATTATCATTATCACCATTTTCAAATATGATATATGCTGTGCATGTCCTGAAAACTTACCAATTAGGTTTGCCTTCATCATGTTGAACAGTTTTCTTCTCTTGAGACTTAATAGAGAGAGATAAAAGAATAATTTTGAAAATACCGCACCAGCCATAATCAAACAACATTGATAAAGACTGCACAATGGGTTCATGTGACCAAATAAAAGTGTAGAGCATAATTTCTCTTTTTTTGGTTGGTCATAACCCTTGAAAATTGAAATTTCAATTGAACAGGGCTTCCTCAAGATCACAGAATTGATTCCTTGGAAGAATGAAGGGAAAATTGTATCCTGCTATTTTTTGTTTGATATGAATTGAAGAAGAACATGACATTGATAGTAATTGTGTAGCAGTAGTACTGTGCATACCTTCTCTGGAATCCTATCCTCCTGAAATACAACAAACAAATAATCATATAAATAGGTTGCTGATGGATACATTCTCATACATATACTTTACAGTTTGTTTTAAATGTCTTCTCAGCAACAAATATATTAAGCGATATAATCACATCTTTGAGTAATTCAGTCTTTTTTTTTATTCAAGAAAAGGAGGAAAGTAATTTTCTGATTTTGCACCTGAAAATCATAAGTGGGTGCCAGAAATGAATAAGGACACTTGGTGTAGTCCTACATACATGGTTACAGTTGAGAGGCTCAAAGTAATTAAAAGATTGCATGACTTCCAAACAAATGTCACCAAAGTGGCAATTACTATCAAATTGTTTCTATTTGCCTCTGCAACCAAAATGGTCAGAGCCTAGAGCACTGTTTTCCATTACTATTCCATCACCAACACTTGAATTCCTGATGTTTGATTTTTCTACAGTTGGAAAGTGTAATAAAAGTAAACTTACTCCATTTTTGATATTTTGGCCATATACACAAAAATCATCTATCAAAAACTTCACCTCAGCAAGCTCTCCAACAAGATACTGCTCCATAAGTTCCCTAGCATCAGAAGAATGTCCTACATCTTCAAAGTTTTCTGTAGCATCTCCACCTTTTTATTGCAGAACCACAAATCATCAATTCAGCATTCAAGTTATGAGTACAGTTAGGCCTAACCTGCATTCACTCTTTGTGTTTTAAGAAAGATGCCACAATGTCAAACATTATTTGATTAATAGTATTGCTAATAAATAAAATTAGAGAGAGGATTAGTTTTGAGCTTGGTAAAGGAATAGAGAAAGATGTTTTTCATCTTATCACGAGCATGGGACAAAGAAAAATTTCTGAGTCCCCATGAGGAATCAAACCTCAGACATTCGGGTTCCATGCTCCAATTGCTCTACCACTGAGCCACAGAGACTCTAAGGAAATGCTATCAACATTGCTGATTCTAGCAGTATGCAGGATGCTTGTCATATGAATTTCGTAACAGCCCTTGCTCACTGTAGAGTTGCTGTGGCTCAGTGGTAGAGCATCAGAGCGTGGAATCCAAAGGTCTGGGGTTCAATTCATCATGGGGACTCAGAATTACAAAAACATCTTTCTCCAATATCGCTAATATCAATAAAACAAATGATAATTATTTAATAACAGAACTAACAATAAATAATTATAATAATAATAATCAAAACTAATGAAATAAATCCTATGTGGATGTGTGTATGATTGAAAATAAAAGAATGATTTTCACAGGTAAACTGCAATTAAAGTAGCTGCTTGCCAGAAGAAATTCAAGCTTTGACCCAGTACTCTAGTGACTAACTAAGCCCTACGTTAAGAGTGAAGGTTCTTTGAAAACTGTAAAGGACAATTTGATAAAATTCCTTTGCTGAAACTGTAGTGCACCCTTACACACCAAAACACTCTGTCATTTACAATAATGATAATAACAATCATCATTATCATCATCATAAGTGGTTCCAGAATATATCTAGACCCCTGAAGCACCAGGGATTCTAGGTAAATTCTATCATCTCCCTCAATTTTAAATCACTCCATAAATTCTTAGTATCTTTCAGAACCATCTGGAGATCTTCATTTCTTTTTCAAGAGAAAACATCATAGTTGTAAACATTAGACCACCTACTCTTAAGCATGTAAACATGTAAACTTTTGTAGCATCCAATCAGATGGACCCTATAGAAATTCCAAAGCCAACACAAGAAGTCCCAAGGAAACAAATAAAGTATCAGTATAAATGTCATCTGGAAACACACAATAATAAAAATAACACTAACCAGCTTGTTCAAGTAGTACTTCCTCTCCACCTGGATGCTAATATGAGAAAAAAGGAACCTAAAATTACACTTATTGCTGTTATTAATAATAACAAAATTAAAATAATGAAGTTAGTAGCAACTTAAAGAATGGCAAAAAGAATTTGCTTCTCCACTCAACGGAGACAAGTTGTTTTGAAATTTCAAAGAAAGTTAATCATACTTTTAGCATTTTCCTATGTGTTACCATGGTTGTTATCGGCCTTTGGAAAAATTATGCACTCTCTTTGCCAAACCACCTTAGTAGGGTGTAAATAAAACGCTATCTGAAGCCAATACATGAGTCAAATCTACAGTGAATAGACACTGAAAGAAAACCAACATGGAAATAGTCTCTGACACCTTGCAGAAATAATCAGCCAAAACGAAATTAAGCCTGAAAGCTAGCAGCTGCAAAAATTTTGTTAACAAAGTTGTTCTGTCTGATAAAATTGACTTGCATCCTACCTTACTACTCATATTAAAAAAAAAAGTTTCATTAAACATGTAGAGAGGAGGGAACAAAGGGCAATAAAGAAAAATATACTCCTATTTTTTTTTAAGATTTTCGCAAAAATTTGTATGAAATGAAGATAATGAAAAGAGGCTTTACAGTCTATATATGTTTGGATGAACAAATTTCATGTTCAAATGACCAAAATCATGCAAGTTGCAAGCACCTGTCCGATGAATAGCGCAGTGAAAAAGATGAGGAAAAATCTTTTTATGTTTTTCACCTGAAATAATAATATGAACCGAACTGTAGCACTGATTCACGTGGAAAGTGACTGCTACATCTCGTGCCACAAGGGGCAACATGATGAGAGAAGGGGTCGCTCACGCTAACCGCTGAACGTGGTATGTAGAAAAACATGTTTGGAAGTGACATCAGAATAGGCTATTTCATAGATTAAGTGTACATAAACTGCAAACATTTAATGTACCAGATTAGAAGACTGGTCTATCGTGTCTACTATGTACATTAACTCTTAATGAGCAAAGGTCAACGTGCATTTCTAATTGAAATAGCGGTCATTGGTGGATAAATATCAATGGAACAAAACTTATAGGCGCAATCAACTCTTGTAACAGGTTCGAGTTCACGAATGAATCTGCTCTTTTCCCCTTAAAATTAATGCGATCTGGATCCAAACAAATAACGATCAAGTTATTTGTAGATGAAATGTACAATATTTGTATTGACATGTGCAGTCCACGGGCCGGTACAGATTGCATCACACCGCAAATCATGCGAGTTTTCGTTGAAGAAAAATCCTTCTTACCTCATCTAAGAATTTCGTAATATCATAGATTCTGTTATGGATAATTAACCAAGACGATCCCGCAGCATTATGCTTTTGAACTTCTTCTAAAGGGATGGTTTTTACACTCTCTGCTGATTCAGCCATGTTACTACAATGGGAGGAATCTTCCAAAACGGGTAACGGGTAACGCATGCGTCAAACTCGCCCCAGACTGCCATACCGTAACTCGACATTACTTGGAGACAAGATGCCCGGCAGTACCCTGAGTAGCCAGTAATCACCATTCATCCGAACGCGAGTAATGAAGACCATTAAAAGCGAGTGAGAAGTCGCGTTCTTGTCCAGTGCCAACTCAAATTCTCTAAACTAAATCGAGACACTTACGATTCTGATTTTTGGAGGCAGGAGAGACCTGAAGAATTTCATTGAAATTCTACATTCATGCAAGGATGCTGATTGCAAACACCTGCCTTCGGCATGCGCAACTCTGGGAAACTGTCTTCGATAGAGATGAGTATCACAAGTAAATAATTAAATAATTTGTTAACGTGAGGATAAAATAGTGAATACAAATAAACGATAGTGATCCTTGCAAAAAAGCATTTCTATTTTGGTTATCTCTTTACTTGCAGCTCACCGGCGGGGATCATTTCTCGACTTAAAGAGATAATAATTATGAGACGGATGAAAATGGCCGGAGCCTGCAGTTTGGTTGAAGTGAAAGACTGGTGATCTTACCATTTCCTGGCCTCTGATATTTAAGTTCTGCAGTTCCACATCATATTTGGAAGAAACTGCACCCTAAGTAACAAATTTGTCATTCCTTGTGGTTGTGAGAGATCATCAGACGTGAAAAGATAACCGTAATGACCTTAAGCGAGACAACAGATTACAACAATAAATAGTTGGTTTTGACGAACCTTTAGGACGGGCACAGCTTTCAAATATGGGGGACGTCGGCTTGGGTGCTAATTGTGGATTACCACAGAATATTCCATACGCGGGCTAACTCAAAGTCGGATTTTAAATTTACCATGCTAGCTTGATCGGATTTGGAAAAATTCTGCTATGGTCCACAAGTCCAGGCTAGGTCATAAGGCGAGTGTTTAAGGAATATGTAAGCAGCGTTGGACCAGCATCCTTTTCAAAGAGAGTGGTCATACTCTTAATCGCTTCAGTAGAAGAAAACTGAATCCTTCCCAACAGCTATGAAAGTCAGTTTGAGCTCAGTTGTTAAAATGGCAATTGCTATCCAGCGGATAAGTGCTGACTAAACACTCTGCGCTATCCACTGGATAGAGATTTATCCACGGAATGATTCCTCACCCTCTGAACATTTCTACTTTCATCGGCTGGGGATACGCAAATCACCATGGACAAGAGGATGTAGACACACTAATGATCGTTAGAGCATGGTTGGTAAAGGTGAATTGTTAGGAGACCGATTGAATGATTTCTTCATAAGTTGCTGTTGAGAGTGGATAACGCTTTCCAAAAGATCGCTATCCAAGGGGTAGAAATTCATTATCCAATGGACACCGTTACCCACCCTTTAAACAACTGGGACTCAATTTACCCAAACTTGGAACCCATTGAAATTGTTTTGAACTGACTGACCAACGTATACTTCATATCAATTTTCAGTTCATCTTTCCTTTTTGCCGGCTTTCCTATCCAACCTCAAATAACCATGATTAGGATGAAAATTTAGATCCAACAGCTTGGAGTTATAGTAACACCCTGGAATGATTCAAAGAATTCCACAGTATTCAAGACAAATTTTAATCCACAATAAATGGAACAGAAGAAATAATTTATACCAGTTACGCTTAAATTTGTGTCTCGTACACAATTACAGGCCATGAACAAAAAACTTTACACATAATGCTTTTGTACATAAACGAAACTTAATTAAACTTGGGAAGCAAATTTTATGTACATAACGAAAGTACTCTTTATGATATTTATTATATAAGTTCGCACAACTCTTGGAACAAAACGATATATAGTTTTTTTTTTAACAAACTGAGCTTAGCTAATTGGGCTCAATTCATTCCTATTGATTAAATATTGTAGTGGCTTCTGAAAACTGAAAAGGTTGTCGTTTTATCAGTTATGGAGGTTTCTCGGTCTCTTGAGGAGTTTAGAAGAGCATCGTGAGTGTTTCGTAATGTTAATTGTCTTATGTCTAAGGACCCACACAAGTTGGTAGCTTCTGATTGGCTAATTGCAAAAAGATTTTTAAATTATCAATTTTAACTACAGTACGACTAAGACAGCGGTCAAACGGTGACCATGAGAAATTCCTGCCAAAGCGAGAAAAGCTGGCTAAACCAGAGTTTCGAGGCTTCGGGAAACGAAATTATTACCCTACCGCCTAAATATATCACAATATGCTTTAATTTTACCAAAACTTAAGTGGACTTGCGCCTATCTTACAACCAAACTTCTCAAAACAATGGCAGCAAGACCTCAGAAGTCTCTACTGCCATAACGAACCGTGCACCTTAAAAGCGAAATTTCACGAGGAAAAGAACGTCACATTTGTTCTCATCATTTGTGAAGATGATCTAGGAAAACCAAGGAATATGGCTTTTTTCGCTGGTACTCTCACTTCATAAATAAACACAAACCACAGAAAGTGGAAGATTAACCCACTAATCTCTAAAGAATTACACTGTTATCTGTATTTTACACAAGGCTTTCATAGAAAGAAATGAATATCACCGCTGTTCTAGATGTTTGCTGTTGACAAGGTTATTCTGCAACCCGTCAACCCCCTGGCTCTTTTACCTTACTGTGTAGAAAGAAATTCTATAGCGTATTCAAAACGATATCTTTGGAAGGAAGACTACCTAGAAGAACAAATAACTGTGTAACTTTCTCTAATCACAAAATAACCAGAAAACTTATTTCATATTTAAGAAAGCTCACACCTCGCGAGATGTGTCATCTAAAGTAGGCAGACAGCATCCAAGATTATTCTTGAGTCTTGGTTGTGAGTGTAATACGTTTCGTAACCTCTACATCTGTACTACTGCGGCTAAAATCCAGAAGGCTCTTCATCGGTTTATATCTACCCCAATAATACTCAATAGGCTACTGTTAGTTTGCCTCCTTTACATTAATAAAAGCCTTTAGAAGCAAAGAGTGATTTAAAAATTAAATTAAAACCACCAGAGCGCTTAATTTAAGTTAAATTACCTAGCCCATAAGAAAAAAAGAACATATCTGCAACAGAACCATACATTACCCCTCAAGAAATAAGTCGTTAAACGTCTAGTTAACTTAATAAATGTACACTTCTTTAGATGTCTCCGTTATTCCAATTTAGTCCCACTAAGCGAGCTCTATATAATTTAAATTAAGCAATAATAATTTACGTGCTATAACACTACTTTTAAATTTGAGCCACGGAACTTACCACAGTAATTCCACATTTAACGCCACGGTGGCATTATCGCGGGCGCAGAATTTACATTAAAGACCAGGACTCGAGAGACAAACCGAAATTAGCGCCTAGTTTGTTGCCTAACCCCCCCCCCCTCAACTCCTCCCACACAAATCGGAGAAGTCATGAAAGATAATCAACTCGTTTCAATACAGCTGTGTCTTTCCAAATTATGCGAATTTCAAACTCCCTTTACAAGGAGAAATCAAGGTTCTACCGAAAACCGAAAATAAGTTAAAATAAGAGTAACAACTACAAAAAAGCAACGATTCAAGAGGAGCAGATTTTGAATCAGGTAGTTTTTTTTTTGCAAGCTTAGACCAACTCATAGTGTATTTTTCCAATTTAAGATACAAAGTCTTGACTTTTTCAGTCGCTGGTAACTTATCTCTTGAACAAGGACGCAAAGTTTTAGTTTAGTATAAAAACAAAACAAAACATTACAAAATGGAAAGACCAAATGAAAGGGAACATAGATGGTTTGGAATGGAGATGATTAACAAGCATTGCAAACGAAATTAAAAGTTTTGGTGGCAACATATCACTTTCCCCTATGACAAACGGCAATTTACAGCTACAGAGTACCATAACATCACAAACATCACAAACAGATTGATCTTTGTACATCTTGCTTCTGAAATTATCAATTTTCTGTAGCCGATATGCGAACAACTAATTAAAGAGTAAATCTACTCAAGTCCTGAATGTGATTAAAAAATATCAAGTTCGGAGCTACTCTAAAGTTTCAAAGCTAAATACGGTAACTATGTTACATGATCGGTGATCTATTAAGAAAGTACTTGTGTGCAGTCCTCCACAGATAATCACGGTTGAGCTGTTAAGACAGCCTCACAGGCCCTTGGAAACTGGGGTGAGGAGAGTAAAACTCATTCAACTTGACAAGGTCACGGATGCATCTACTGCTTGTGTGCAGACAGGTACACCAAAAGTCAAACATCCGTGTACCGAACATCGATCTCTTCCAGTCTTGGCAATTTCTGCAACAAACATTTAAAACGCAATTACAACTCAGTGGGTATGCATTTGATGGCAATTGAACAAAATTCCGAGAAGTACAAGAAAGGTAGGGGGTGCAGAGAGACACATTTAACCACTGACTGGGGCGGGATCAAACTGGGAAACACCATAATTCTGTTTGCGAGTCCAACACACTGACAATTTAGCCACGCTCCCTCCTGGCACTGAACAAGGAATGATCACATAAAATTGACAATGAATTGAAAACCGTCCCAAAAATATGTTGTGGGTCTATTTTATTTTTCTTAATTTCAGAACCATTGCAAAAACTCATTGAACTCAAACATAAAGGACAGTAAAATTTAAAGGAATGAAGTAGGACCACAACCGATGCTAAGGAATAAGTAAAAAAAAAAGATGGATAGCAAAGCTACCCCGAAGGAGAGAAGCCACTGTTCATTCTGAAAAGTTAGAAATAATCTACCCCAGTTATATTCAACCGCTGGAAATACTTCCCATGTGTTCATATTTCAGTATTTTACTTCGCAGGCAATCGCTAGAAAACATTTCCAACTCTGAAACAAATTTAACTCGACTCGATTACGCCACTTACCTTAAGTTTTTCGTATGTTGTCGGCGAAAGTCTGGTGCTGTTCAGGTTCAGATTTCGAAGACTGGACATGATCACGAGGGATGACAGTCCGTCATCCGTCACGGGCGTCTCACACAGGTTCAGTGACTCTAAGTTGTGCAGCTGCTCTGCCACCATGTGCAAGCCTTTATCACCAAACTAGAAAACCCGGTTTAGTATTTTAGATTATCATTTGCGTGAGACTGGGCTTCAGGGATTTTATAACCTTTAATGCTACAGCATCGTTGGGAGAGTATCCCGGCAAAAGATTAAAACTCGACTTCCTCTACGTCCCATGCAAGTTCTGACACACGTGTATCCTAACGCTAGTGCCTGGGCCTGCCCTCTGATGACTGTCTAAGTAGGGCGACCGTACCTTTCAGACCTTGAAGACGCCTTTTTACCGCTTCTGTTTCCATGTCTGAATCAAGGCAGGGGAGGGTAGGCTACCCACAAAAGTTGTAACGGGGGATGGTTAAGCTTCCCTTGGGGTAATTAAGGGAACCGCAAGACATAGTCTTTCATCTCCAAGACCTTACTAGCAACAGAAAGAAAAGGAATGATCAACAAACCTGTGTGGACCAAAGGTTTAAATGTAGCAGGGCTGGCAGTTGAACCAAGTATTCAGCACAAGCGCTGGTTACATGTGTGAAGGCAAGGTTTAGGCTCTGAAGGTTACCAAAAGAACCAGACTTGAGAAGACGGGCCAAGTCGTCATCCTGTGGAAGACAAGTTATTTGTTACGTCAGCGCATTTTTTCCACTGACAAATAGACGAGAGCTTATTCGATGGTCTGCCAAGACTTCACATATTGGACCGACGTCTTTAGACCTTAACTAATAAACAGGAGCTTGTTTTACGCCTTCCGTTTGCTGTAGTTTTGGTTGCTCCTGCTGATGTTGTCAATGTATTTAACAGTGCAAAAAACACCTACCGTCGATTTTGTAGGAAGGGTAAGTACTGTTGGTCCCCCCTTTTCCTGCTGAAGAGATAGAAAAAATTAGGAGACATTAAATGTTCCTAGAGCTTAACTGACAATTAAACAGGAAAGAACACATTTAAAGCACTTTCAAAGAAAACAAATATTTTTCCTACCATCTGTCTGAACTTGGCTTTTCTGAAAAACAAAGAACAAGACGATAAGTACGGATCAAAGAACTCATTGGCACAACACCATGGCCAGCGGCCAACGTCCGTGCATGTGTGAACGTTGCATCGAGGCAGCCCTACATAATGTTTTCAGGCTAAACTACCTCAAAAACTAAACGGTTACGAAGTTTCAATCGCGTAAAACATATTGAGAAAGCTCAAAACAAAATGGTAACCCAAAAAAACCCCCGTAATTAAATAAACTTTGTGTTCGCAAAATTTAGTCCTCCTTCACCATTCTTTTATTTCCTTTTACATTTTTCTTTTAAAGAACATTTCAATTTATTGTCGTAAATTTTCCATGCAGCAGTTTCATCGTGCGTTTTCCTTAAAAATTTTACGCGGAAAATTCACGCACGGCTGACCAAAATTGATCAATTTGCGCATGCCCAACGATTGACCGCTGGGTTAACTTAAGTTGAATAACAACTTACTTCTGACACAGAGCTTCATAACACAGTTTGCCTTCTTCGGTGCTTTCTAATGTAGAAATGATCTGTAATTTTTCATTTTCGTCTTGCAGAACCTCAACTTCTAACATGAATGCCAAAGTCTGTCAAAAACAGAAACAGAACTGAATTAACCCTTGACAAGATACGATAATTTATTTAACCAAAATGATAATAATAATAACTGAGATTGGTATGTACATATACATGTACATGTATTTCTCTCAGAATTTCAGGGCCCAGAGACGATTGTTCAATTGTTAACGGGTGATTTTCTATGCACAGTGCAAATAACATCAACGATTATAATCTGCTTCAATAACAGTGCTCCACTTACCTGAATAAAACTGCTGTCGCCTCGTAACGCAAGCAGCATAAAGGGGCCGAGCATGGACTCCTTGAGATCCAAAAGAATCTTTTTTCTCCTCCCACAACAATTTAGTAAGCGACCCATCTGAAAGGAACAAGCAAGGTGTAACTCGATGAAAGTTTAACCAGTGTGGCAGACGCCCGAGTGAGAGTGATGCAGACCGACACGCGCGACCGACACACGCGAATGACAAGCTACTGCTCACGGGGACCGTAAGTTTTTGACTCAGGAGTGACATTGTAAGAAAGATTAGATGCTAGTCATTCTTGGGGGTCAAAAAGTTAAGTTTTGATAGAAAAAAAACTACAAAGGAACTCACCACGTGGGAGAAAAAATGTCCTTCATCAAAACAAGAAACTCCTCCTGGGCAGATGATGTCGATCCAGCCATCTTTACCTTTCCTGACAGGAAGAATGGACTGATGGACCTACAGAAAAACAACGCAATTCAATGAAATGAAACATAACGGAAATGTTGAAATGTGTATTCCTCTACGGATTGTAAAATTTTTTTCTCTGGCACAGTGACTTGCGATGAAAGCTGGTTACTAGTAGTCTACCGATATTTTCAAAACCCCTTACCGCCGTCTGCTTAGTCTCTGAGCAGACTCTTGTCTTAAGGTTAACCCCATCAGCAGTCGCTTATGGAGAAAGTTATTAAAACCCCTATAGGAAAAGGCTTTATCACAAACAAGCAGTTCTAGCCGGGGTCAGGGGCGTACAAGAGGAGAGGGCTTTGGGGAGGGAGAAAACGTTTTAGGGCATTTACTGTTGGCACGAAAGTGGAAAGAGTACCTCACACCGCTGATCTTCTGCAAACGCTTTTATCACTGCACTAATGTACCTGTCAGAGGAAGCAAACATTGATTACTGTGGGTGGAAATAATCAAGATGGCCAATAAGATACTGAAGAACTTGACCACTTTTAAATCCTTCTAAAGATTTCCAAGATCACTTTGTTAACGGGAGTCTCTGCTGCCTACGTAAAAGTTTTTTATTCACTACCACACTAAGAAGGATATCCTTACTAATAGAGAACACAAGCAAAATTTTTCATATCCCTCAGACGGTAAGTACCTCAATTTCTGAGCATCACAAGCCTTGGCGATCCACTACAATTATTACATTACTGGCGACTTCTACTTTTGACCGGAAAAGTATTTTTTTTTCCCTTAATTCAAGCAGGAAAGACAATAATCCCGTTATTTTAAACTCGGTTTGATTCATTAAAGACGGTTGAATATTTACTTAAGTGTTTTCACAGCCACACATCACATGGCGTGTACACATCACATAGTGTGTACCTCACGGTGTAAAGGACCTGATCTTACATAAAAGGGTGTGACTACTTACAATACAAATGTCTCGTTCTTGAGAGCCCTGTAAGAGAGCAGTTCAGGTAAGTACGCTGTGAAGGCCAACACACAAATTTGGATTTGTGCTCGTGTAATTGAAGTACGCAAGCATCAATACCAAGATTTATAAATGTTCAGTGAAAGCAACTTTTTAGAATTAAACTTATTGCAATATGAATACTTACTCTTTTGGGAAAGGTATGGGCTGTAGTAGTGTTGATAGATTGGGTCTCCAGTCTTCAAACTGTGCACTGAAATTGAGAACCAGATAGCAACGAGTCATTTATGTCTGTGCAACACGTACACTTAGGTTTCTAGTTCTTCAGAGCAACGTGGAAAAGATTTTGCATGCCAACTCCTAAGTGATACATATGCATAATTACACTGCACCATCCAGTAAAAAGGTGTAGGAGTAATGCAAAGAAGCAAAATCATGCTACAAGGTTTTACCTTAATAAAATACCAGAGCCTCTATACTAATTTACTAAGATATGTACTTTGTATGTTTAAACACGATGGGCAGAAATTAGAATTCCTTATCTTATATCGAGAGTTATATTATAAATAGGTTCTAGTTAGTTCTATTATTTAAGTGTAAGCACAGAGATTCTTTTCCAGCTAAGTTTTCTGTTCCTTTTTTTAATTATTACTAATTAGTTAAAAAAAAAAAGGTTTTGACAGAGACTGCCTGATCTGTGGCACTAGGAAAAAGGTTTACATATCCACAAACAAAACTGGAATACAGAAAAGTCTGGACTGATATCTTTATTATCTCAAGAGAAATAATTACCAGTAAGTGATCTCTGAAAATAATTCCAAATGATCAAACAAATGAACTTTTTACTTACATGGTATCCATGACTGTCATGAAACAGAGCAGAAAGTTTGTGTTGATTTCTTCATACTTGACAAGCCTAGTAATGACACATAACACAGACAAGTCATTATTAGTCACACTGAGGTTAACTTGGAAGACAGAGTTCATTTCACTACGACAACAACAGCAAAACCAATCTTTACATTTTGGTCCTTTTGCTACTGCCAGTCTAGCCCACAGGTAGCTGGTGCTAGCCTAGACAGGCCAGTCTTGAAAACTAAAAGGAAGAATCCTAACTTATTGTGGATTAATAATTATTTATAAATAATTGCAAAGAAGTTATCATTAAGATGATAAAATAAGTTTTCTGAGCCATACTACAGACTTGCATTTACAAAACTAAGAAAACCTACACTTTACTAAACTTACAACTTGTCACTTTGATCAAATGTGGAATAAACGGCAGAGAGGACAACTGCAACTAGATTTGGAAGGACACGAGGATGTGGACAGGTGGCACTTGGACTGTGAACACTGGTGAAAATTCATTAGAAAAATTAGGATTATCATAATACAGAGCAACTATGGTTAAGTAAAAAAACAAACCAAAATCAAAGAAATCATAACAGCCAACAGGAGCACAGAAAAATGCCAAAAGAAGCCATTGCAAGCTTTGAGTAAAACCTGAAGTGTGAGAAAACTCTCTGTGCAAAGATCTGAACAACCAAATTTACAGTATTTGTTAGAGACAAGCAGTCATCCTTAAAACAAACAGATGGAGTAGCATAGCCTTACCTCTCTACAAACTCTCTGACAACATCTGCATAATCTTTGCAAAACAATGTATAAATATAATCTTGTACAAACATTCTGAGATGTGGATATTTTCCAAAATCCTGAAAGAAATGATACATAATGATCAGTAAGTAAAGCACAGCACAGACTGGTCATTATTAACATGAAAATAATCATCATTAAGGAACTGAAAACCATTTAGAATACAATTTTATCACAATTTCTGATAATGAATATCAACAGATTGTTCATATAATACTTGTGTCTCACAATTTGTGGCACCAAAAACACTTCAGACTAAATTTACCATCAGCACAAGTAGTTCTTAGCTTAGAAAATAATGACAATTATAATAATAAAAATAATAACAATGATAATACAGTCATTTATATAGTGCTGTATACAGAAGTTCTAAAGTGCTTTATGATAAAAGGAGAGCATATAACTGAGAAAACTAATAATCACCTAAGATAAAGGCAAAAGCAAAGTTGTATAGAGCCTTAAAAGTGACTAGAAGCAAGTTAAAAACCAATAAGATGTTCAACTGAGAGCCAATGAAGTTCTTAACTACAATACACTGTAATTCTCACCATGTTATGTTTAAGAATTCTGTGAACAGCTGGGAGGAAGACATCTAGTACTTCATTATTATAAAGTTGGCCCTTGCAATGCTGCAACAAGCAACACACCAAAAAGATACATTCAGAACAAAAAAAGAACTCTCGTTAAAACTTTGTGACATCATTTTTTATGCCTACTGAACATGTAAGGTTGGAGAACCTTTTTACATCATTTTTCAAACTTTTCAACACCTGGTTGATGGCCCGTTCTTTGACTATCATACTGATGGATTCTATGTTTGAGATCTTACAAAATGATCAATTACAATGAGGTTTTATCATCCTGTATGAAAGTTACACAAAAATACACGCATACAGTGTCTACATGTAATTGTCGCATCTTTACCTTGCTAAAGAAAGCACAAACTTCAGGGGAAGGCTGAACATATTCCAGAACAGGTGCAAGTGCCTTGAAAATCAGAAAGACAAATTCATCAAAACAAAAAAAAACAAAAAAAAAAAAGCATTCTGTACAAAATGTAAAATTTAACATACCAAATAGGGCTGTTGGTGTGTACCATAACAATAGGAGCATGAGTAATGTATGTTCCACAAGTTTTAGTGTCCACTAATGTTCTTCAACATAAATTTTTTTTTGAATCTACATAGTACATAATGCACCTAAGGGGAGATATGCATCATTAAATATCTGCCTAACCCAGATATTGTTTAATCATCAAAATTCAACATTCTAATGCTGTTTACTGACCACTATTAAGTTTTCTTGTTCCTCATCAGAAAATGAGATGAAATGCTGCAAGAAAAATGTGTTAGTGTTATAATTATGATTTTCACATGCAAGAGACGATGAGTGAGAGATGTTTGTATGTCTGATGCTCACACTTCATTCTTTCTGTGTGACACAAGACAAACAAAACCCCTCACACTCTATGGTTGTCTAATGTACATCCCATCAGGTTAAATAAATTAAGATATCAGAGTAGAATCTTACATGTGCGAGGATATCCGAAACCATCTCCAAAGGAACAGTAAATATAACGTCATCTTGTATTGGAGTGGTTAGTGAGAAAAGTACAAGTTCCTATAATAAAATAGAAGTCAAACCTTTTCATAATTATGCAAGAGGATCTGAAAAACAATTATTTGAAAACATAAGTGCAGTGATTTATTGTCAGACTGACTAAATAGCCAGTTGATTAAGCTCTCCACAAATGGAAAAGACCAAACCAAAACAAAACAAAAACAGCTTTAGTTAATACAAGCAGATCAATTAATTTGTACCCTCTGAAAATAATTTGAACATTCTCCCTCCCAGCCCCTCAAAAGTAATTTGAGAGCTGACACATACACTTTATCAGTTGATACAGAAATTGCCATGTGAAAGAGACCCTAAAATACTGTTGTCATTTATCACACTGTTGTGGAGGCAGTGTAGCTAGGTGGATAGGGCACTGGTATTGTAATCTGTAAGGAATTGACCCTACTTCCTTATGGATTTGTTCTTGGTTGTCCCAAGGTCAATTCCTTCACTACACTTTTTATACAATCAACTGATCTGCCTCCTGCCAATCAGGGTTTTTTAAGAAGTTTTGTTTACACTCTTGGGCATAGATGAAAATTACTTGGTGTAAATCTACTTCAGTAGAATAAAATGAATAATTACCATGATTATTAGAACTTGGTCAGTGACTGATATTAATATCTTGTCGCCCAAGTGGATGCAGTGAACAATAAAATATTGTTTAGGGCCCAAAATGGTAATAATACATACCCTGAGCTCCTTTGTTAAAGCTTCAGGATCACTGGATTTTGATATAAGTCTTTTATATCTTAACAAGTTAACCTGCAAAGAACAGTGTTCTCAGTATTGGGTTTGTGCCTGAAATCCATGATCTTTTTTTTTTTCATTTGGAAAATGATATTTAGAGCAATGATGCTTAGTATAAACTGTTACTCCAACATGGTTTAGTGCTCAGGCGAATTTGGGGCAACAAATAACCACAGTGTCTGCATTTTTGCATATCTGAGTCCCCATAAAAACTTGCTTGCTTGAGGTTAAACTAAGTACTCTTCCCTCTTCCAAGACAGATGCTTAGGTAACAGGAAAAAGGGAACTCTGTAGGAACTTTAAAACTGCAACCAGCCAATACATCATGTACATGTAGTTTACCAACTGATTAGTCTTGCTCCACAAACAAAGCAGAAAGAAAGCAGGGATGACCTTACTAAATCCAAGTTGATGGACAAGTGAAATTACATTAAATTCAAAATAGTTAATTTAGTTATTTAAATAAATTATATTTCAATTGTATTGATTTTTAAAGCAGTTAACTTAATTTATGGCTGATTTAACCCATATTTTTTGTCAATGGGTACAACCTGGTAGACTGATACTGGTGGAGAGTAAAAGAGTTGCCCACTCAGAAACTGGATGTGTGATTTGCATTAAAGTTGAAGCATTTTATCAATATGTTGGCAATCTAATTAAGTTTATACAACTACTGTTAGAATAATTTCCTTACCTTCCATTTCAATGAATGAAGCCACTGATCTCTCAGATATGCATTGGGTGCCTAAAGAAAATAGGGAAATTTAAACAAGTCATCTCTTTAAGGCAAATCTGAGGGTTAATTGGGTTTTAACTGTTGCAAATCACAAGCAGAGCTGCACAACTAAGGAAAGCCTAGATATTAATTCTATGCAAGTTGATGTCAAATACTGAAAACTTACCCCAAGCCTTGCCTGCAGTAATATTTTCATGAATCTTTGCCACTTTCTTTATGTTTTTGTGTGTGTACTCTTTTTATTTTGGTGCCTTAAGAATACTTTTTAGTTAAAATTCACCAGTTCCCACCTTGACAGTGAGGGTTGGGATTGAAGCTTGGCATTCTGAAGTAAACATGCATTGCCTATATTTAAATCCAAACTTTAACAAAATTCATTTTTTAAATTTACCTTAAGTAATACAGAGCCATCTGGAATTGTAACTCTAATGCAGAAATGCTGGCCAGTGTCCCATCTGTTCACAGTATATGCATCCAGTATTTCTTGATAAGACAGAGGACATTCCATGAACCCCACACACTGAAACACACAGAGAAAAAACATATTAAACAATGTGGGCGATCTTAATGCTCTACAAATCCCCTGCTGTACCTATTTCAAACGTAAGAATTACAAGTGGCCCTTGTATAGTTTAATCCAAATCATAGCCAGTTGGGATATTTTCAAACCAGTTTTATTCCTTGATTTCCTTTCTCATGTATTCATTTTCATCATTAAAAAAAAAAATTCAAATCACACCTAAAAAGTTGTTTTAAAGAAGGAAAAGAGTTTAAAAAACAACATAAAAAACATCTGGGAGAAAAACCACCTAAACATTAATGAATGTTCTCTAATGTTAAAAAAGGTTGGAAATCCAAACTTGTGGGTGCAATTTGAACAAAAAGTGTGCCATGCAGCAGTTATCTTTTCCGTAAAATCATCTCAGTGCACAAAGAAATTATTAACATGTTATAATTTTTCTGTTCCTTTGTATTTCCTATGGCCCTGGACAACATCAGTAAAAGAAACTGTACACGTGTACACCATGAAACATGCAATTTCTACAACCATGCAAAAAATGTAATCTACTGGATATATACTGCTAGTTCATCCATCAGATGGCCTATCAGCAAAACAAATACACACAGTACGTTCTTTGAACAATTGGTACCAGGAAATAAAGCTCAGCTGCAGTTGATGAACTGCTCATCATACACTTTTAGGAAAAAAGGCTGAGGGTCGTCTGAGGGTCGAAGTTGTCTTCCTTTTTTTTGTTTGTTTGTTTTTTAATAATTTGCTATTGTTTTTGTTTTCGCAAAGATATACCATGAAGTTTACAACACATAACACTAGTCTTGTTCTGTTAGGGTTTTGAGCCTCATTACTAATTCAATACTTCAGGCTGGCTAGCACATTTAGTTTGTAGCAGAGCCATGCACAGTTATCTATCTTGAAAAGACCTGTAGTTAGAACTGTAGTTGGTACATGTAGTGGCAATTGATAACCTCAGTGAAAGTCATCATCACAGTCAAGTAATGAGTTTTTTTGTCAGTCGTAAAATACCAGTCTGTCTAGTGAAACAGATTGATCAGTCATGCAGTGACATTTAACAGGCTGTTAAGAAGTGCAAGAAAGTTATGATTTGTCAGTTTCAACCAGTTGGAAAGTAAGGTTGTTCCATTCACTTCACTTGTCATCTTATTGTTATGATTTGGATTCATAGTGACAAAACTCTATAATCATGTCACCTGCCTGTAAGGATGCAAAATTGGTGTCCCCAATGGGTCTGTTGTCTTCTTTATCACTCAAATTTGAATTAAGTTGTTATCATGTACTATGACACATACAACTCTTAATGTTCATTTCTAAATGGTTACAAATTGAGGTACATTTGGCATATGAAGATTTCCAAGTACCATGAACTGAAAGAGCGCAATACCATTTTTTTACACTCTGCATAACTGCTAACATATCAAAATATAAATAGCATGGTAGATTTGTTATGTAAGAGGCAGATTTTGCATTCTTGTCATGAAAACATCTTTATCTATTAAATCTCATCTGGTACCAAACAAGGACTCCTAATTCTCATCATAAACCAGAAGTTAGACCAAGAAAGACAAAATTTCATTATTTTCTTTCCAGAAAAACACCCCTCTGTTTTGTATCACATGTTTCCAAAGCAACTCTAAACTAAATATATACTCAAAACAACTGATAACAAATTTGATTTCAAAACTATCCAGCCTTGACATTACTTCAAGTATTTTTTCCTTAGATCACTCCATAATATTTACTGAGCTTAACGTTGAAATACACATGCAAATGCAACATTTTCAAAAGTTTAATGAATAAAAAATTGTAATTAGTGAATTTAGTCTGATGAAAAACAAAAATCTTTCTTTTTAATAACAACATTACCTTAGAATGTGAATTTCCTTTTTGGCAATTCATAAACAGAATTTACAAAACTGTTTTTATGTTACTTATTGACTAAAATACTAGAGAGGAAAGCCCCATAACAGACAAGATGGCAACTCCTCATTAGCGAGTCAAAGAAAAAAAAAGGAATTGTTATGCAAATTTTTATCTGCCTTTGTGTAGAGCAGACTTTTAATCACCCAGTTTACTACAAATTACTTTGAACCCATGATGTTGTTAAAAAATATATGTCCACTGGATGCTGAACATGCTGGGGCCATCTTTATAATATTTTTGTCAAAGACAACAGCTCAACCCTTCAAAAACACCCTTTAATTTAAGCTTAAATATCATTACAAAATAAAATATTGGTATCCACATTGCAGTTTAATTGCTCCAGAATAAAGCAAAATGGGCATTTCAAAAACAACATTGGTTAAGTCAAATGTTTAACCTTGGAACAGAAATAAATTGATTCTGACATAATGTCATGTATGATTGTAGCCTGATCCTTTGAAAATCCCTAAAATCCTTAAATATGAGTCAGCCACTAGGAGAAAATTGTAAGAATTTTAGTAACTGGAATTTTAAGCATCATGCAAGCACTTGCTAGAACTTTTCCACAAGAACCTCATAAAGAAAAAATAAAATGGAAAAGGCATTATTGCACCTTTCTGTGGGAAAGGACAGCCACATTTTTGTTCTAAACTTATGACCCCAGAGAAACAACACATAGAAAGGTTCTAAACACATAGAATGAAATAAATTTACCAACCCTTCACTGGGGTCTTAAACAAAATGAAAGTTCAGTCATTTGCTTTTTATATCCTCTGTACTTTACCCAATTTTAACAATCACATTATCAGTACTCAACACTAGTTTGATGCATGGCATTGAAGCTCCACTTTGCTTACAAAACTCAAACGAGTGTTACTCAGTTAATGAACACTCATGCAGTATCAATAAATACGTTTTTTTAACTGGTGGTTCAACTTTCTCCATGAATAAAAAAAACTATTTGACACATTTGACAAATTTCTCCTGGGATAAAAAAACCCTTTAAACCAATTTGACTTTTATTACTTTTCTTTATTTCAGGTTATAACAATGAATACAAAATAAAGAAAAATACAAATCAAAATTGCAGCAGCTTACTTAATTCATGTTGCTACCTGCTGGGATATTTCTCCAGCATCACTGGTAAAAACTGCCAATGCAGCCACCTATATAATTGATCAGTAAAGCTTTCATCATCAAAACTTTCTGGCACCAGAGTGTCTTAAGCTCCACAAAAAAAAAAAGACATTCTGGTGATGCAGACACAAGTCTTTCCAAAACAACAAAATTTTATTAAGGTACATGTATTTTTTTATATTTCCATGAAAACTACATGGCATTATCTGATATAATAAAAATAAAAAAAGTAATAATATTGATAATAATAATTTTGCAAGAATTATCATAACAGTAATAATAATTCTACGTTATTCAAATGTAGCATTGTTCAATATAATAGTTTCAAGGTCTAATATCCATTTCTTGAGCAAAAAAAGCAGAATTTACCTCACATACCTAGTACAGTAGGTGTACCAAAGGATCCACATAATTGAGAGGAAATTAATATAAATGTTATTTTTGGGGTCACGTTGATATCAGAGTAATGATGATACTTTGCATTTATTGAACAATATAAGAACAATAAATTGATGCTTGCCATGGTACCTACGATAATATTTTAATTAATAACTGAATTAGTGGTATGAGTGGCCACTTTTGCCATTGGAGGCAGCCAAGTGGCAATGCATTGACCTGTTTCTAAAACTTACTGGTCAGTGATAAGAGGAACATTTTCATAAAACATTACCCATGCTCCTTTGTTTCCTTCTAAAAAGAATTTCTATTTTACCTTTGTTGCCCAAGTATTAAGCCTTGATTTCATATAATGGGTTGTAGCTAAGAAATTTCGAGTGAAGCAGCTTCAAAATGGTGGACAATTGTAAATGTGTATTATCTCACACATGCCAGTTATGCTTAACCAAGTGTTTGCCGACAGAAAAACCAGCCGGAAATTATTGCTTTTTCATCTGGTGAATTTTGGTGACAGCTGGCAATTAGTAACAACCCTGCATGAAAACTTCCAGAGCCAAATGCTAGACACATTGATTATTCCAGAGTTAAATACTGTAGTCAGGGGTGAAGCGAGTCAAGCAACACCACAAAAAATGCCTTTTTTCAATCCTTTTTCCACTACGCCCAATTATTCAAAGGCTGATTAATGATAACCCAAGGTTAGATTTTAATTCAAGTTTCTTGATCCATTTGTTTGAAAGCCATTTTGGGATCATTTTCTCTATTCTTTTAAGAGCATTCAATAATCAAACTCTAGACAGAAATAAATATATACTGAATTTTCCTTGTTTAAATCTGAAATCAGATTTCACACTAACCCTGGGTTATCTTAACCCAGCTTTGAAAAACCCTGCCCTGGTGTCTAAAATTTCACTTCTTGCAACCATTTCTCAAGTTAAGGCTGGCAAAGGGCAACCTTTAAGAAAGTTGACCTGACAATATATACTAAAACTAGGTTTTGGACCAATATGTTTGAGATATGGTTTCAGTAACACAAATAACTTTATCCATCATAAAATTCTTAACTGTAGACATTAATTTCCACAGTGCCGGAGCACACTGATTCATGGAACACAATATACATTGTTGGCAACACCCTCAGTGTTGTCCCTTTTATAAGTATGGCAGGTAGATAAAAATTTTCAATTAGCAGATCAGTCTTTTTAGCTGGTGAATTTTCAAGCATTCCAAGCAATTTAAGCTAGTATTAAGTGGTACAGTATTACAGTTGTAAATTCTGCAGATTACTGCCTGAAAAGGAAACCTGGACACCCTGTGAGTCCATCTATATTTGAATACAGAATCTTTTCTGTAGCTATATGTTGAACAACATACTTCTACACGATAACATACATTTTAATAATCTTTGATAAAAATCAGAGACATTTAAGCATTCTATAGATGCACTTAAGATAAATGACAAGCAACATCATTTGCCATCAGTGTTTAATGAGCAGTGATTTTCTTCACTAATATATCTAATATCAATGGCTGCTTGTTATGGTTGCTATGCTACACTTAAAGAAACAAGACTTGACAAGCTTTTGATACAGACCACAAAAATGACGATATCAAAAACACTTCTCCAATATGCCCAACATACACGTAGCTTGAAAATTTTTTACATTTTTAGTCCATGATCAAAAGAAATTCCAACTGAAAGTGTATAGAATTAAAATTTTGGAAGGACATTCACAACTTGATCATATAAATTTCTTAACTTCCATGTTGAAAACATTTATCAAATTGGTCCAAATTTTCCTAGGCATACAACTGTGAGTCAATACAATTCATGCAGACACTATATCAACCCTGGTGGTCACATTATAAGCATAAATGGTCTTCTAGCCTACTCCAATAAATTTCAGAAAAACAGACTTAACTACTTTCTTGTTAAAGTTGTTTGACAGAGAAACACTACAAACTTAATTTGCTATCAAGTGTAAGATACTAAGGAGTCTACAAACTCTCAAAATTTTTAAGGATAATAAGGTGTTCTACATCTCAGCTTTGTAGGTGAAGTACAGTACAATGCAATCTGAATGTGAGCCTGCACAAAGAAAGTAATCAACTAAGCCCAAGAATATGTTAATAAGTAACTATGATAATTTATGACATTAAGTCCCAATTCAAAAAGAATCAGTGGACCAAGAAATGAGGTAACAAAGGCACCATTGAAAATTTAGATCAACTGAGCAAGTTTTAGATTATCACGAAAGTACACAAATTTTTTAAAGCTCAAGGTTGCCCAAGTAAATCTAAAGCTAAAATCTGAAGAAAACTGAATGGTGAAAAACTTGTTTTAAAACAAAACCTGAGACAGGTGCCAGCACATCCTGGTTTTATTCATACAAAAAAACACTACACCAGACAAAGACAAGCCCAAGAATAATTAACGCTGCAAGAATAACCAATAAATTCTAGATTAGAAGACTAAAAATGATGAGGAAGCTACTTAAAGCAAAACCTCTAACAAATTTGAGTCAAAAATAATGGTGACATGTAATTGACAAAAGAACCCGAGTCACATCAAGCACAGTGACTCAAAATTTATTGTTTCTAGTTTGACTAAAAAGTTCACTTTCCTTGTCTCTGGTCTATGGATTTCTATAAGCTGTGTGGAAGAGGGTTATAAAATTACTACTAGAAAAAATAAATATAATTTGTTTATCAAATCCATTGTATTTGTGTATGTTTTTGAAATTGAAAACCAAAGTAATTCTCCCATTGTGAAAAGGTATTTTACTGAAGATTTCTTTAACCTGCAACATGCAATAATCTTTCCCTTTCATGTCAATGAAATGCCATTAACTTCATCTTGCAATCATAGAACCTATTTGTCCAGTTTCAAGACATCAGCGTTCACTCCACAGAAAAATTTACGACTTAAAATTCGCAAAACATTAGTTTAGAACCAAATGAAACAACATAGTGTGCACTGAGTCTCATTTGAAAGGAAATGGATTAACCCAAACAAACTTTTGCCTTCAAGAAACACAGGAATCCATAAAGCCCTTACTGATAAATTAGGATTGTTTTTGCGCGGACAAAATGTACACCTAAGGTACACTGTGTTCGGAAACAATGATTCCCATGACATAATACTTAACAACAAAGATCTAGACTCATAAAATGAAAATGCCATGGTGCCCACTTGAAGCACATTGTAGCCACAGACATCTGTGTATTGGTGAGGTCACAGATCCTATGAACAAGTTATATCTGCTTCTCAAGGCAAAGCGAAATTAACTCGAAATCTATCTTTGTGATGATGTAGATCGAGAAGTGACCCTCAATGGCCATCTAAAATCTTTCCAAACGAAGGGAAAAAAAGAAATTAATATGTTCTCTGATTCATTGGGATGAAGTACAACTGTTCTGTATTTCGCAAGGCAAATCAAGACGACAATCGGAGAGCTGAACGGAAAAAGTCAACATCACGAAGAAGCAGCTCTATTTCCTTGTTCTTCAAATCCTTGTACAATTTACCATAAAAATCACCACGTTAATACGACGACAGTACTACTAAAGCCGCTTCGCTTTCTTTTGAGACAAAGCGACAGCTCTTTCGGCTTAGTTCAAGCTCGCGTTCGCCTGCTCGGTAACCTTATAGGCGAATCGAAATATTTCAATATCTAGCATTCTTGTTCAATTTGCTAGCGCTTCTGCGATAATCCTTAGCATAGCAAACCATTTGATGATCACTTCGGACCGTTCGAAACGATATTGAGATAAGAAAATGGCGGACAAGTGATTAGACAACCGCGCAAGTCGCTGCCTAGGATTAAATATTTCATTCGCAAAAAACTTTTTAACTCCTACCGCTATATTTCACTCACCGTGGCAGAATACATTTGGAAGTCTCCCAAATAAACATGATGTGCTTCCCATCTTCTTAGAAATTTGGAACTTAACACTTTGCTGATTAAAGTTCGGCTATGGTTTAGGCGACAAACTTGAATGTCTCCTTCGTGGATCAGTTTGAATTTTGGTCCTGCTCCCGTACTACATCTTTGAGGACGTTGCGGTCGCTGTTGTCCTCCATTCGCTATCGCCACAGCCATGGCCGTGTGGATTGCCAAGGCGTCCGACAGTAAACTCACAGACTGGAAGATATAAAAACACCAAAATATTTCACCTAAAGGAACAGTTGTTACTCCATAGATCGAGTGTAAACATATCTAGTCCAATTTGCAAGCAGTCGAAGAAACTGGCCTTTTAGCCCGAATGACGTCACATGCAACGAATGATTGACGTCGAATAAGAAATTTCCAGTTGAGGCGACTTATTATCTCTAAGCTAAACTCTTCTAACCAGCTTGGACTGAAAGTCTCGTTAAAACCAGATCATAAGTAAGCTGAAAAGCTTTTCTGTAATTTTGCAGGAATTTCAGCAAACAAGCGAGTAGTGCAAAAGCTATTCTGAAATTGCCTGAACATCGAGAGGGAAAAGGAAAAAGTGTGATCGCATAGAAATAAACTCATTTGAATATTTTGTTTCCTTTGACAATTGAAAGACAAAGATGGATCATACGAATTTGGCAGACGAGCTGCGAGGGCTTTTCATAGCAATAAAAATGAATTTAAATTGCTTTTGTCTTGCCACGAATGACCCAAACAGGAGCAATGTATATGTGTGTTACTCACTTATTCTGCGATTCTTGAAAATCGTTGAAACGAGATGAGTTGAGGGAAAATGTTGCGATGAAAACATTCAACAGTTTACGGAGAAAGGACTTAAAGTAATCTCGGATGTATCAGTACTTTAATTCAACCGCTTTTTATCCTTTCTTTTCTTGTTACGAGCATAATAGAATAGGGAAAAGTCGAGTACCAAACGAGAAAAGCCACGAAAAAAGAATAATAAATATGGATCTATTGAAATCGTAAAAAACGTTTCGTATTTCTCTTCACACGGCAACGTTTCAATCTTTCTTTGCACAAATAACGATAAATGAAACTGACAGTTTTCAATGAAATCGCAAGTCTTTATTTGCAGCATACGCGGCGTGTTTCCAAACAAGAAATAGAACAGTTCTAAACCAATAATATCGAAATCATAGTAAAGCGAGTGAAGGCTTTGACCAGGAGTACAAACAGCTGCCAAGAAGCAGCTCACATTAAAATGCCTTTCTATCCTTTATAATTTGCATATAAGTTCCTTGGAGAACAGATGTCACCTTTAGAGTTTTTTTCCTATGAACTAATACGCTTACAGTTGAATATCTTCAATACATAAAGCAGTTTCCCACCCAAGTTATTTTCTTTGCATTTGCGATCAAAATATGAAAACTATTGTTGTTGCGATCAGCAAAAGCAGGGTTGATGTCATGCAACGTTACTTGAGAGAATGCACGATTCAGCTTCATGTTCCGGTTACAAAGTGATAACAGATTTATCAATCTGCAGTCGCGTTAAAAACCGTACACATTAAACTTTGATCCTTGAAAAATGATAAACTTCAGTTCGATCATTTACACCGAACCGGTTAGTGATATACTTGACTAACAAATCTAGATGAAAACCGAAACTTTCATAATTAGGCATCCTCCTCGAAAAAAAACATTGGTCTCATATTGCCCAGTATACACGCTAAATGTGAAATTTCAAATCTAAGGAACGACAATTCCAGCGAGGACTTACATTCAGGATATCTTTAATTTCGAAGATATTCTAAACCGTAGAGAGCAAACTTTGTTTCTTCGACAAACAAACACCCAAAAGCTTTGTGTAAATAGATTAACTTTGTGGCTTCTGACGGGGAAATTATAATCGTGCTCTAGCTCGAGGGCTGTCTAGGGGATACAAATCGTGACGATCAAAACGGTTTCAAAGAAAAATTCCAGGAAGTAAATTAACTTCAATGGAATAGCATTCAAAGATTTTAGACTAAACAGTTATCTTGATCTGAAGGCAAAGGCTTGGTTTTGGCACACAAAAGCGCCTGAACGAGGTGTCTTTAATTATCGCACTTGTGCCCCTGTGAGGTTAATTCTGAAACTAACATCGTGAAAATGAAAAAGGAAAATGCCCTCGAGGTATATGATTTTCTTAAGACGCCCACGACAGGGTGTCGAAAATTCAAATTCAGGTTTTGTGCCTGCTTCAGTCATTGATTATCGATCCAACAGGGAAAGTTCAACAAATCAGATTGGACACGAATTTGTTGCGCAAAAGTTTTTCGCAAACAACGCATTACGAATCGAGTTGACTTCAACTGCAGTTTCCGTAATTTGATGTCAGTTTTCGGCGGATCCCTATGTTAAAAATTTTAGTCTTTTTCCAGCTCGCCATAGCTCAGCTTTGAATTGAAATAAAAGAAATAAGATTAAACATTGTGAGCAGAGAGCAACTCAATTCGTAACTTATTTTCCCTGTTTTTCAAAAACCACGAAAAATACATTTTTTTCACCGCAGTGAGTGTTAGAAATTTAATTGCTTGTACTTCAAGGCAAGAGCCTGCGGTGCTGCCTGGGATACCATTCAGGGCATCAACCTGACAAAGAATACAACTGAGAGAGGAACAGGCCGTGTTTTAAAAGGACTGGCTTTCAGAGCGACATGAACAGATGTACAAAGCAACACATATCGACTTGGCAAGCTGTGGGTCATTTCAGATAGTACAATGCTTTTTGTAACGATTTTACAAGGAAAATTGAGGCCGTAGGGTTGACACTTCAATCCACTCACACAAGTTGGATATCAATTCTACTTGCTTCTAAGAAAACAAAAAAATCAGAAACTATTTTTTAAAACGCGGTTTGCCTTATACAAAGGTTAGAAAGTTATGATGACTTGGTACTTTGATTTATCTCTTGTTTATCTTTTATAAAAGCGTGCATCAATATTAACTTCTTGTGGGATTTCACCTTAGACAAAGAAAAGACTGAAAAAGGAATTCAAAATTTCAGGATTAGCAAGGTTTAACGTGGTTGTAGCCACGCCAGGGGCGTACCTAGGAATTTTTGAAAGAGGGAGAAGGGGTCACGGTTACAAATTTCCTCTTGCGTTATGTGGAGAGGCCTACAACGCTGCACTAACTTGTGTATCAGCAGGCTCGTAATCTGGTGGACAGAAAATTAAATTGAAAGGGATTTCTGACGTGAAGATTCTTCTGGTAGGATCTTTTTCACAGAACTGATGTATGAGGTTCATGCGGCCCTTTGCGCCTAGGTACTCCAAGACTTTCCACCCCCGTGGCCACTTCCCTGGTGTTGCGAACAAACCTACGCTCTGATAAATGGGGGAGGAGAGGCTGAAATCATTTCGCTGAAATGTAATCGATTTTCTTTTTCTGGCTAACGGTATGCACCGCCGGGATATGTAGTCCGCGAATAAACGACGCATTCTTTTAATTTAGTACCGACATCTTTTCGAAGATGACTTCTGCTATTAACTTCTATTTGTGGAATTTAATCGATTAGACATTCTTCGACCTGAAGACTAAAACCCTCGAGATTAAAGATAACATGAGACTGACTCTCCTAAAAACAACTCTTAAACATCTCTTGCCCACACATAATCTAGAACGTTACTATTTCTGAAAAGTCTAGGACAGAAATTATCAATTTTAAGGCATCGGTAGTAACTTAGTAATTAACGATTACGGTAACATACAGGCGAGCTCATAATGCATCTCTAATCATCTTGAAAAAAACGAGGGATTAATTCAGAAATCTAATCATGTGGGGATTAATGGTGCATTCACCATGAATACGTAAGTGGCCAAAAGAGGATCGAAATAATCAGGTGGCAAGCATCAAAAGCATGGTGTGTGATTAAATAGGGCTTCAGTTAGACGAAATGAAGATTCCTGATCGATAGGTCATATGGTTGGAAGGGAAGCTGAGTTTCAAAGGAAGAACGTTATTTGAGACAGTAAAACAGTAATTGCTACTATCTGTAATGCTTAAGCAGGCTGACGTGAATCAGCAAAGTGCTGAAATAAATGAAGAAGACACTTATTTTGGGTCAGTTCTCATTGGTCAAAATTTCAGTTTTTAACTGAACCCAATTACTTTTCTTTATTCCTTCACTCGTCTAGACGACGTTCTCACTCACGTTATCTTTGTTCACAAATAGTACTAGTGCCTTCCTAAAACAAAGATGTATTTCCGTTAGTTCTGCAGTTGTAATTACTGAGTTGTATTAGAACCTTGCGGGTCTCAATTCTTTCGCATTTTGCATTAAGTCCTTGATGGTTCATTTCAAATCCATACAGGAAAAGATTCCCACGAGAAAGAAAGAAAGAAAGGAAGGAAAAAAAAAGTTTTAACCACGAAAAAAAAAAAAACAAAACAAAACAAAACAAAAAAAAGGTCGTAAACACCAAAGGAGTGTGCAGGGGAAATACATGCTTTCTGTCTGACTTCGTTTAAGTTTCAATTCTTTTGAGAACTACGGTACAGCTAGAGTTTATCGTATTTCAAAGGCTAGAAAAAGTTCCAATTTTTACCTTTCTTTCCCTGTAAATGTTTTCTGCGTGATCCGAACTGGAATCCCAAAAATGAGTTCTCCGAGGAAACTTTTGGTCATCTTAAAGAACAAGAATTTCTTTCCACTAACACAAAACATCAGCAATCGGCTTAAAGAAACTTCAGGGATATTCTCATGCTACACGGCACTCTAAAAAGTTCATTCCTGCGTCACGTTTTTTGCTCAAAGGGGGCGCAGCCTTCCATTAAAAAGCCAATATGCTCAAGAAAACAACTGATAACCACGTCATATTACAAATTAAAATCAGAGAATGAAAATATTGCATATGAAAGAGTACTTGTGAAAAAAGCAATTAAATATCATTTGACTTGTCAGACACGAGCCACGTGGCTCACTAAAACCAAGGGATTATAAATCTCTCCCTTAAGCCTTAATTGTTAGAATGGCTCTTAGACTAAAACTCTCGTTGCCATTATGACATCAAATCAGCTATTTATTTCAATCATCTTCCTTAATTTTTAATTCTTTACTAGGTTACAAAAAACTTCTGATAATAACCATTGGAAATTTGTTTTTGTTTTTATTTCGGGATTTCTTGTTTCGTTGTTTTTCAGAGTTTATCGACAACTTCAGACAGATATTCCTAAGCTATCTTATAAATGATCTTCCAATGCAGTTCCGACAGGGTTCTTTTAACTTCATCTTCACGAAAGGAAACCCGTCAATTCTTTTCCAGCTGTCTGATTACAATCCTGTCAATTGCGCTTTGGGATCCAATCAGATTTGGGCACTTTCATTAGGTTTTGCCAAACTTAAATTACTTAAAAGGTTGAACTTTCCTTATTTCATAGAAAGCCAACATCTGATCTGTCAGACTTCAAGTTCAAACAAGGAACCAAATTGTAGTAGTTTTATGAAGATCAACCACCCTCAGCCGCGATTCATCACCGGAATTTTGTTTACTTCTAAATGATAATTTGTAGCGATAAATGAACCTTGTTGTTTCATGCATGCACTCACCGCGACAAAAGGGGTCCAACCTTTCATTTAACCAATAACGTTTTTTTTTTTTTTTTCATTAGATCAAATATCAAGCATTGCTGCTTCATACATCTTAATTTGTTTAAAAGATTCCTAACAAATTTTAAAAGGCGCATTACTCACGATGTAAAGTATAACAGCGATAATACTTAATCTTTATAAGATAGAAATACTTTTTCAGATAAACATGTTTGAAGCCTCTTTTTTGCGCTTGAACGAGAGAGCAGGAGAGCGGGTGACGTCGGAACGAGAAGGGACAGGGTCGAGGGGTGGGACAGAACTTATCTCGCTCCAATCTCTTTTCGCTTGACGCCCTCGACCCACATGAACGAAAACATTTTGCTTGTATCTCCTTTTCAGTCAGAGAAACGGTCTCAGCAAGTTAAACTTCCGAACTAGTTCAGCGAGTCAGCGATCGTCTGCTCAAAGGTCCAGGTGTATTTCTTCTTGATTAACTACCACGATGAGGCTGACATGACTACATCAGTTTACAAATTAAAAGCCTAACCATTTTTATCAGCACTATTCATCAGCATTGCGGAGAAATAAAAAGTAAAGCTGTTAGTGTACTCACATAGCCACGCCAATTAGTGCAAAGTGAGAAAACGTGTCATTGAGGCGAAAGAAAAAACTTTTATACCTAGTCTTCAAGTGAGCGTAATATTTTTCGGAATAAACCACGGCGCCAGTGCGTAGGTCACTGAGGCAGTTAAAGGTGGTAAAGACAATTTAGACCCCTCAAAAGGCCAGGTTATAGTTTCAAAGTTAAGTAGCCTTGATCCTTAAGTCGCCGACATCAGTCGTCGAGAGTTAACCTGCGCTAATATATCTCCCAACTAAGCGGTTTTGACATTGGTGATTGGAGCATTTTGCAGGTTGCTGGTCGTAGATGAACCCAGTACCGGCATGGCTAAGCTCACTAACGAGTTTCACAGAGCGTCGGACCACAAAATCTGTACTAACGGGTATAAGAATCCTCACTTAGGACTCAGAACGCGGTTTCTCCTATTCTCAAGTAAGAATTCCTTTCGTAACTGGGTCAGAATTTGTCCCCTATAAAACTGTACTCTCAAATTTTTCGGCGGAAAAAAAAATCGCCGGGAAGAATGTTAATCAAACACAGAGCAAAGCTAAGATAATTTTAAAGGGACTTAAAAAAATTGATTGCTACCGCGACGAAATTGAAAACTAAGTTATATACCTATGCACTTTTTGGTAGCAAGCTTGAGCAATTTAACCGCAACGTCAAATGGCTTTCATTGGCATGTCAGCTAAGGGCTAGTGACCAAGCTATACTTTACGACACAAAAATGCGTAATTAGTTCAAATATGAATTGACTTCATCAATTGACTGAAACGAGTGGCATTGCGCAATCATCACGGTCTGTACTCTCATATCTATCGCTCTGACGAAGGACTAACGCTCGAAACGTCAACTTTTTAAACTCTTTACGTTGGCCAATTTACGTTTTCAACTCAGTTTTAAACATTAAATTACCCTGTCATACTCTCCCACCGACGCAGCTCCACAATTTTTATCGTAGACAATGGCTTTATCCCAACGGATAAAGAAGGGACTCCCTAAAATCTCTTAAGTTATTGTAAAACAAAGCCACTTACCGTACAAGAGAAAGACCTTAAAACTAAACAGGATGCCTACCACTTCCGTTGAGACAAATAATTACAGTTTTTAAATTTTACATAAAAATGTTCCGCGAGTTTCTGTAGTAATGTCAGCAGGTTTTGTTTCAGAAGAATCAAAAAGCTATTTTGTTTTAGGCACTATTTAAGTTTTGTTGAATGATTTAAAACGAGACAATTCCGATCACGCCTTGCAGTGGGAGTTATTATTTAGGCAAGAACTCACGTATTGTTTTGACCCCACTCCAATGTTTCTTGACCTCTTCCGATCTTTTTTATGGTGAAGAGACTGTTGTTTTAAATTCCAATCTGTGCCCTAAATGCTGCCCCGCCGAAATCTATCCGAGCATGCAAGATTGCAGTTTATTAGTCATTTTACAGAGGATCTCGTTAGAGATGATCGATCAGTGCTGAGGTCGTCTTTTGACGGTAATTTTAAGAACAATAAGAACAACGAGGAAATATTGGGAAAGATAATTTTAAAAAAAGAGGTGAAGGAATTGGAGCGGTAGGTTGGATGTAAACTTAATTTGTAATTTTAATGAAAAGGAATTACGCACTTAAATGACCACCTAGGTCAAGTCTCGTGGTAGGGCGGATACGAAAATTTATTCATCCCGACTGCACGCCAAAATTAAAAGAAGCAGGAACATGGGTATTATTGAGTTTCTGTTCCATTTAAAAAGACTCGAAAGTGACATAAATCAATGTGCTCTCTCAGCCGGTTGCATTTGTTTTAGAATGTAAACCTCTTGGGCTACATCAGCAATCTGTGTACTTATTTACCACAGATACTGGAAGGCTCGCATTTCTGGTTTGTCGTCTGCGACAGCTTCCTTTCAAGATCAGCGAGCCAGAAACGATATTGGCCCCACCACATGATTTCAGACGTTCTCGAAAAAGAAACTCATTAAGCAAATATCACGAAAGTGTATAATGCTGTTGGAATAAACGTACAAAACCTGAATAGAACTGTCACTGCTCTTTGCTACAAGACTCCTACTTTAACCCTCGCGATGTACTAGATAGTTATCATTTTGTGTTATTGCAACGAGTACTCGGTCAAACGTAGACCAAACAATATTAGAAGTGTACTCAAATTACCCTTAAGACTGACAATGACATTGAGATGACGAAACACTCACTAAACTCTACAAAATAATGATTCTTGGATAGCACGTGGTCAGTTTAGGATAATTTTAAAAACCGTAGCTTGATGTAAATTCGTAAAACCATCAGTTTACCGACTTATCTAAATTGACAGTGAGATACACTTACAAACAAACCGACAGAAACTGAAAACTATCAACCCACGAAGGCAAATCTTTAGGTGCATTGTTTGCCAGACAGGAAAAATGTGTGTGTCACATCGCCTGAACTGAATGCGATGATTAAGGAATAATTGACAGACATATTTTTTAAATATCAGCAGCAGTGCTTTGAAAAACCGAACAAATGTAGAATTTCCTTCAATAGTGACATCCATCATCAAAAATTGACGATTGTGGTGCACCCAGGTGATAACAGTTTTCATCAGCCCCGGAAATTTGACTGCTGGCAAAAATGGGTGAAATTGTCCGTTTACAACGAATTATTTTAGCATTTACCGAATCGTCCTAACTTGGTTAAGATAATCAATTACTGCAGTCTTCCACGCCAATGTGGATAACATTTTAAGATGAACTCAATCTAATAAACTTTGAGCTCGATGCGTTTCGGTTGATTTACTTCATTTCCTGTCCTTTCTCGTTCGATCAACTTGCATGTAAGATTGCGAAAGAAGAACCGTAACGTACTAAGAACTGCATAAGAAGAAGAATAATAACTAGGCATTTCATGCGCTTGCACCAAACGCGGTTATGCGTTTCTTGAATCAGTTGTGGACGTGAATGTAACGAATATGTCAACTGAGGAAAATTGTCGAACCGTTATGCAAATTTTCGTTCAAGAAACGTAAATGTGGATGACTTTCTCACTAATTAAGTAGACAATGACTCACCAGTTCTACATAACAGCCATTCGATGCTTAGATCATAGTTACCATAGCATGAACCAGTGGCGAGACATGTTTTACATCAGCAAATTTACCACGGTCACACTTCCTTTCAGAATTTTCTACTCGAAAGGCAAACATTTGTGGACATGCGCATGACATAATAGCGACTTCCTTGTTTTGTTTTGAACATCATAAACATGATGTTATTCATGACGTCACATTAGCTCTTCCGTATGGAATTGGCCACCGGATAGCATACCACGTAATTCCTGAAGATATGAAGTTCATGTGCGTTTCGTGAAGAAATTCGAAAAGAATTAAATTGCTGCTAAGAAAGGCTTAGTATTTCAACAGATCAATATTTATTTTTGTCTTAAATCAATCAGATTTAAAAGTATTATCTGTGATGATTGCATTTTTACGGATGAGTGCTGTTCTGTACTTTGCGTGCAGCAAGGTCTGTTGATCGTCATCGCGGGGTGACCTGTAACTTGCCCAGCGTGCGTAGATCCGAATTCAATACTATCTATCTTGTCATAAGGTTTTGGATAACGGAATCAGCAGGATACTAAAAACATACAACACGTGCGCTTTTAATGTAATTAAAGTAACACGTCATAATAGCTTATTGATTCAGATATAGCTATATAGAGTGCCTCTATTTTAAGGCCTGTTTAATAATCGTTTAGCGGTAAAGTCCGATCCCTGAGCCATCACCCAGAGAACCTGAGCACAAGTCGCTTTTGTTACCTTTAATCCGGAAAAATTGAAGTGTGAGCCATGAGGGAGTTGCGCGAGGGCATGGGGCGAAAGAGCAGAAGAAAACTAGGAGAGGGACGGGCGCCAATAAGCGCTCAGCAGTTAAACGTAGGAGATGTCTAAGGGGATCAATTTTGGCCGAAGCGCACCAACTTTTCGCAAAGAGCTTCAAAGAAATACAACTAAGGTAAAACAATCTCAGGAACCTATATAGAAAAAATGGAGGGAAAAGGAAAATTCGAAAATTTTGGAACAGATAGTTTATTTGATTACGGGTATCGTGTTTTTACTGATTGTAACAGATCAAAACTAGTAGTCGTGGAATAAAAAAATTAATTATTTTTCCGAATAGTGCTTTTGTTATAGACGAACAGTGTTTTGAAAATTGCAACTGGCAAACAAAAGCGACAGAACTATCGACAAGCAAACATGGGATAGCCATAAGCGGTAGATCGGTTTTCAATTGAGTGTGGAAAACCAAAACGGAATTAATCACTCAATGGAAAATACAGTGCAACGAGCGATAGGTTTTTGACCAATCGGGGAGCTCGTGATATCAGTTATTTTATAACGCACATGCAATCAGTGTTTCAAGCAATGTGACAGAGAATGTACAAAAGTGATTTATCTGAAAATTTTGTGAACAGAAAATCGCATGAACTGCTCGTGAATGTGTAATTTATGATCACCCATCAGGTTCTGAGGGGTTTGCGATTTGCACTCGTAACGGCTCGTGCAGTTAAGAACATTTTCAAAACAGTGCCCATGCCCATGAATCACAAAATGCACACACGTTCAGGCAAATTTCCTCTACGTAAAACTAAATTGAAAATGAAATTGCAAATAGTAACTTGTAACTTGTGATATAGACTGATGATGATAGTAATAATAAGAATGGTATTAGTTACAGAATAAGGGAGTGAATTGATAATTCCTCGAAATGCATCCGGGAAACATAATGGGTAAATAAATAAGCAAACGAATACGACAATAGCTCTTATGTAAGATGACGTCAAATATAAATCTTTGCCACCTTCTTATTGATTTCATTTGCGTTTTTTTTTTATTTCAGTTTTTATGGAAGTACTTTCTTATTAAAATTTATCAGTCTGCACCATGAAAGCGAGGCTTGGAAAGGGGGAGAAGTCTATTCGTGAATGTAGTGGCTGCGTACCACAAGCATATTGATCAGTTGTCTTCAAAGCCTGGTTACCTTGTTTGAAAGAGTTAGAGCCTAGGTCCTCTTAGATAGCAAACCGATTTTTGGCAGTTTGGCGATGCGATTCCCTCAATTGATTATTTTTTGTATGTATTCCTTTCATAAATCGTTAGATAAAAGCATGACAAAATGTTACCCTCTTTCTTGCTGATGGGTATGCGGTTTTACCATGTTTTCAAAAATAGACACATCAATTAGCTGAATATAGTATAACATCAAAACGAGTACTGCCTTTCATCGGATTTCGGCACCAACAGAATTAATTCAAACGCGCGGAAATAAACATTTAGCTAACAATTATCTTCCTTCGATAAAAACTCCTGATGCTGCACTAAATGTTCGATTAGATGCGTTAAGGATGTTACTGAAATTTTAACAGGAACTCTCATTGTTTGGAGATATACGTAAATTAAACTTTGGAGGCTGGAAAACTTCCTTTGGTAGAAACAATTGTGTGCAATCTGGTTGGTTTAAAACAAGTCTTTTCCCGTTTATTGCTTTCTTGTTGAGAGTTTGCGATGAATAATATTTATTCGTTGATGAGGAAATGGAATGATAGCCGTCTAGAGAAAAAAAGAAGACGAAAGATATGTTTTCTGTTCGCATTACAATTTTTTTTCCTCAAGTTTTCAAGTTGGATGAGCGATGTTTTCATTTGAAGTTACAGTAACTAACTTGGCGGAATACTTTCCTAATTTTCTCCGTTATAGCAAGTTGAGGAAACTTCTCGCACCAAAATGAGGAGAACACAACTGAGATTTTAAAATAGAATTGTTATAGAAGACAACTACATCGAAGGACCATGCCGCGCATTTGCACTCTGAGCGGAAAGTACATCTATAACAAAGGCAAAATTACACAAACGAAATAGTGTTACGGGATTTTACCACAGTGCCGTCACAGCAGTACAAAGGTAGCAACTTCGGCAAATAATTCAATTACTTGCGTTCAATGGCACAACTAGTTTTATGTATTTCGTGTGATGCGAGATTTAAGCGCGTTTCGACCATCCCCGAACAGAAAGCGCCACACTGCTTGCACCTTTGTAGAAATTAACGTTCGGTGTGGTATATGGAAAACAGATTTTAAACCAGCTGTTGTTGCTTTCGTTTTCCATATTTGCGGCATTTAGTTGTTGCTGTCAGTGTTATTGGCTAAACGACCCGTGGGAAAGGCGTATCAAACACAAGAGATGCGACTAAACGCTAAGCAACTCTCAATTTGATATTCACAAATATCCAACGATTAATGCATCTTTTTAATTGAAAATAAAGTCTTGATTTATCTATCGGATTTGAAACACGGACCGTTCATAACATTTTAGAAAACTAAAAATATTGAAATATCATCAGTGTTAAATACGCGAGCGAGATTGTCATGTAGAATTGTCATGTAAGAAAAATTTAAAGCCCGGAGCGAATGAAATATAGCAAGACCTGAGCGCCTGATAATTGAATTGAAATCTGCTTGGGTTCGTCAATTAACAACCAACAGATTATTACTAAAAGACATACGGTACACGGAGTGCTAGCCACGGTAAGGATGGAAGAAATATTGTTGATACCCTTAATCGATGACCGTTTAAATAGAGTGGTGTAGATAATCTTATGTTCATCGTTACCATTTCAAACCTTTAGACTGTATCAGAGTGGATTATGTGAAATTGTTCAATTTCGTTTCAATAGCGAACGCTATAACACGATCGCTCCGTACGAAGGAAAAAGAACAGCTAGCTTTCAAAAGTCAGGTGAATGCGGGTAAAAAACACAATAAATGGAAAAGTTTCGACTTACCTCAATCTCTTCTTTCTTGCGTCGTCTACCAAAGCATAGGGGTCGAGAGAAAAAGGATTTTAAACGTTTGAACTTCATCTTGACGATAAAGTTATTCTAAATGAGACACCGATCTTTTAACATTAAGAGAAAACCGTGCTTTCGTGCACCGCCGGGCAAAGTCGAGGTAAATGTCGTTTACAGTCGGGTTACTCTCTCCACTGTCGTCACAAGAAACCTTTCAAATGCTTGGCCAATAAAAAGTTTGCAGATAAACAAAAGCAGTTTACGTAAGACAGAGACAATTAATACAATAACTCCGAGATTGCGAAGGGGTTCAGTCTTTAGAATGATTTCCCTTCTGCTATGCAAAGAAACCAGGTAGCCTCAATACAACCAGAGAAAAAAGAAAAGGAGAAAAACTAGGTGATAAATTTCCCAAATAAAACTCTAGGAAAGGCAATTTCGGGCCTCAAAATCTCCTAGTCTCTTACTTCATTGTCTAAGAAGTCCAAAAAGGTAATTTTTATTCCAAAGATTGACTCCGTTAGTTAGGGCGAGTGTGTAAGCAAATTTACTTGATGCTATGTTGGAAGACTTGCACATTCGAGCGACCCGAGTTTAAAGAAGTGATATGATTAAATTTAGATAGCATGACTCTTTATCCAACAATTTAATTGTCTTGAGATGAAGGTGATTCTCGGAAGCACTACCGCTGTTACTGAAAGCTTTACGAAGTAAAAGGGCACGGTCGTATTTCGGAAATGTTTTTAAAAGTTTTGTCTTTGTAGGCTGGGAACAAATTACAGCCCCCATATGTAGAATATACTTACTATTTATAACTAAGGCCTAGTTCAAACGTCGATCTTTACATGTACCGAACCTAACGTTTCTATTAAGTACATGTAAAGATCGACGTTTGAATCAATTAGGATCGGCAGATTTGTATTCGGATCGACAGTGCCGTTCTATCCGACTCAGCTAGTCGGATAGAACGGTAAAAGATCGGCATTGATTCATACGTCGTACTTTACATGTACCGAACTTAATGCATACATTATACATACGTTAAAATAATTATGTTTTACCCACAATTCAAGAAAGTTCGCTTACGTGCCATGCGCGAAAGCCTTCGAACCATTCAAACAATATGGCGGGAAAGGAGGAAGGCTCGTGCTCCTCTTGTTTTAAAACCACAAAATATACCTGTCTTACGTGTAAGGAGTACTTTTGAATTGTGATGTTCCTTTGGGAAATAAGCAATAATAGAAGGCAAGCCAAATTCAAAACTCGTCTTCTCCTGGCAGCAAGGTTGTTTAATGCTAACTGCATCTTGTGTCGCCTTTTTCTACCCTCCTTAATCGCATTTGCAAGAAAAACAAGCTCTTCATTTCCACAAGTTGTGCTTCCCGCATTTTTTCCCGCCATTTTGGTAGGCATTAACCGCTGACTACAATGGAGTTATGTTCAGTTTTGCAATTAGGATCGACTAAATTCGGATCGACGTTTGAATCAACTGCCGCTCTTAATTATTCGAGTCGACCCAAATTGCAATTAGGTTCGGTACATGTAAAGATCGACGTTTGAACTAGGCCTAAGTATCTAAAAATGATATGATATACATAAAGACCAAGACTGCAGCAGCATACACGAAAAGGCAATCAAGCTAACGATTACCAAAACCTTTTTAGAAGTTATATGGAAAATTGTTTAACATATTTAGTTGTCTGAGTGGCAAAAACTAAATAAAAAGGCTCGAGAAAAACAAGTTTTTAATAGTGCCATTGCAGAGAAAAAAATCAAATAAAAAAGTTGGAACCCTTTTAAAATGAATTTTTTTCCTGAACCTGGCCAAACACATATCGAGGATCTGGAGATTTACTAAGAGAAGGAGGATTAGACAGAATTGATCACGTTTCATCCAAATTCCCAAATGTTCTCAAAAGATGAATCATTACGTAAATCCGTTGTTTTGTTAATAAATGTGTTATTGTTATTTTCAGTTTGTGTGTAGTGGAAATAACTCACCTAGCAAACAGATATAGAACTTTATTGAAATAAAAAGCAAAGGGTGACCCCGCTTTTTTTTTTTTTTTTTTTTTTAAGAAATCGGCTGTAGTAAATACATCCATATTTGCGTATACACTAATTTTTTTTTTGCAATTCGATTCCATAACCAAAACCAATGGATGGCGCGAAGATAAGGTCATTTCATATTAAATAGAAGGAACCTATCTTAACTTAAATGAAGATGAAATTAAAAAAAATTACAGTATTATAGTCTCAATAAGGCGACTGAAGTCCGAAGTCAAGTAACAATGGACTAACAGGTCTACGTTCTCTTCCTTAGCCGAAACATAAATCTCTTCTGTCTTCAAGGTGAACTTTTTGCAGTGGTCAATCGAAAGTGATTATCTCCTAACAAGGAAAAAAATACCAACAAACTATCCGTTGTAAATGAGGAAAAAACAATTTAGTGCCACAAATGTATGCGAAGTTTGACGACCAAGGTAATTCTTTGTTGGGTTAAAACGATATATATATATATATTGTCTTTTATAATCTTACACCAGAATTCTTTGGACTTCTGGTGTAAACTCGCATTCTGGTCATATTTTGCAGAACATTAAGGCCGTGGATGCAGAAATATAAGCACTGATTTGCCTGACATACTTGTTCAAGCCTCCCAATTAGTGAATTTGGAAAATGAACGCCTCCTGCGTAGCCCAAACGTTTTTCAAGAAATGAGTACCACAAACAGTCCGCTATTAATTATTATTGGCGATAACAAAATCAAGATTGTCCCTCTTGCGGTACTAATTTAATGACAGTAGTCTTGAAGAGACAAATAGTAAACCATTCAGTTGCATTTCGCACTGTCTTCATTTTCATTTTTTAGCTTCAGACAATTTTTCTGTTTGTATGAAAACACTCGCGATATCTTAAACGTGCAAGGGTTACTACTGCCTGAATTTAAATGTCTCTGGTTGAATTCACATGCGTAAAGAAAATAGCAAGCTAAATGGCTCGTAATCTTAAGGAAAACCCTATCATAACTTGATTTTTTCGTTCCGCTGTCAGTTCCGGCATAGGATCCTACTCATTTCTCATTTATTAATTAAAATAATCAAGTTATTCAACTAAATTCAGGAACTGCGTTCACTTGGAAACGATGATATCATGATTTCATCGGTGTGTTCCGAGTCAAAGGTTAATTCAAAGTTTATAAAACAAATGGATAAAGAGCGTCTCACAGTGGATACACTAGTAAAGGATGTTTAAAAATGATTGTTTACATTTCTAATCTTTGGCAATCCGTAACGGTCAAGCTCTCAAGAAACCAACCAAAACATTACAATAAGCGCAAAGTTCCCAGAAGTTCATCGTTGACAGCATAATTAAAATCTCAGGCCAATTCAATACCCGTTAACATTAACATATTACGTTGGGGGAAAGTTGAAAAGCTTTTCTTTTATTTCTACGATTAAGTCTAGGCCTATTGTGACCTATTGTGTCTACACTAACCGGAACAAAAACGGAGCTTTGCGAGGAACGCACTAGGCATTTTTTGGCAAAATTATTCGGCCCTTATGTACATGCCCAAGGATGCCTTAAACTTTAAGGTACCTCCCCTCCCTCGTTGTTTCTCAGTGACCATCTATATTCTTCGCCTGAGAGAAGCCATGTGAAAGTGAAGCGGTCCTTCCCATGAACACAAAACAGCCGACCGACGCGCTTTTTATTTCACTGGCGTGAACCCATCAGCCTCTAGAAACGTAGGGTGAAAAGGGTAATTTTACGCTACATGATAAAATTCGATACACAGCTTTTCCACTGGGGCCGCATTTGTGTCAATAGTTATAGATACTATCTAGCGCAACCTTCTGAAAATAAAGTACCTTACTGGCTCAGATAATTTTGTTTTAATCTAATAACATGGCAAGCGTGCGACATGAGATGGAATTCAGGCCACAGATATGCTTTTATCGCCATGGTAGCTATTTCCAAAATATCTCAAGTAACAGTACTATACATGTATGAATCAGCAGATAGAAGTGTCACCGTCTCAAAGAAAATTACTGAAACTGAGATATTCGGCTCGTAGAAATTGAGGTAAAGCGGTAACATTTCCTGTGTTTCATGAGGAAAGGTATCCTAGAAATAACAAAGAAAAGTATAGCAAAGATCTAGAATGAAGTACCGCTCTTTTCAAATTATGCAAAGAGAAGGATCCCTATCAACAATATGGCGATCGAAAGAAGACTCAAAATAACCCGCCTCCGTGACCGTCAGTAGAACTCAATAAAGTCATCACTAGAGAGCTTTAGTCAAGTGAGGATTGCGCTTCCAGATTAAAGGGGCCTTGCACTATCATAAAATGCGCAAAAGAGACTGAATGTAGAGGCAGATTGTCAGAAAGGAACACTTCACAGACAGCAGTTCTAGACATCTCATGGTAATCAGGTGACTCGATGGCACCACTAATCGTTTCACGGAAGGCATTTTGCCAAGCTTTGCCCGGAAATTCCGCAAATAATGAACTAAAACGACCAGTTTCTTTCGAAACTAAAACTGTCAGGTGGGAGTTTCGGTTTCTGTCATTGAACAGTTACGTAACTTGCTAATATTTGATTTGTACTTTTCCTGAGCCCAATTCGTTTTCTCCAGATCGAAAGTTTAAGATCGAAAGTTTCTACCGAAAGCGCAGCCAACACAGACATCAAACCACGACTCAGGACTACTCTAAGAATCCATATTTTGGCTCCCAGCTGACTTACTGATAGTTAACGAAGTTTCTATATTCCTCTTTCATATCTGAAATTTTTTAACGGTTTACAAAAACCGATCGAAATACCTCGCGCGAGTCAGATGACAATTCTGTTACCGAAAATAACTCGATACAGCTCTACAGGCTTTATCGCGTTTGTTTAAAATTTGCCGAAATCAAAACAGTGGTCTGTCTCCGAGAATCTAAAACAGAAAGAACGCGTGAAGTCCCCTCAGAGTTTCAGTGTTTTGTTGATAACAGGGCCGGAAGTTAAATGAAAAGGAGCTTTCCAATCAACACCAAATTAGGTATTAAAGACCAACAATTATATCAGACACAGACAAAAGGAACTGAAAGAAAACCCAATAGACTATTTGCACGAAAAGGTATGGTAACAATATTCACCTTAAAAAATTACTTTTTCATCCTGAATTGAAAAGTCGAATTGGTTTAAGGGCAGAATGTATTCCGTCCTCGTATGTAAATTCTTCAATTTAGCTCAGCTTCAACACAATGCCTTCTATTTATGCAAACATTACATCAGCTAATTTTTGGTTTCGATCCTACATAATGAAGAGTGTCGACGTGTGTAAGCAGAAAGGGCAGAAGAATTTGCGACGCTTACTGGCGAGTGAGGTGTTGGTTTGAAACTTCTTTATCCAAGCAAAAAATGGTTCGCCATCTCCTTCTATGTCTTTTCATCAGCTTCTTTCTTCATCTCACGATAGTCCAGGCCTTCTTCTGCAATGACAAGAGCTGTGGAAGATGCGTGAACTCGAGATTTATTAAATGTCGATGGTGTAAACGAGATAATAGATGTCACAATCCCGGCGCCGTTCTAACAAATCCTTGCAGCAGAGCGGAAAATATTGTAAGCAAATCTCATTGTGATGACGAACTGCCACGCTATGATCCTAAATTAGCCTACAAAATGTTGCTTCTTTCTGCTGCAGCATACGACTCAGTTGATCCGCAAGAATGCCTCAACAATTCGCTCCCATCTGGCAAGTTTCAGCTTCAAGCTGTGGTGACAAAGAATTGTGACGTCTTCAATAACAGCTGCTCAGGCTATGTGGCTGTTTCACATGCGTTGAAAGTAATCGTAGTCGCTTACCGTGGCTCTCTGGGTTCAGATCAATCAGCAGCCATAGCCGAGGAAACTTTGCTTAAGCCCATGACAACTTTCCTCCGTGGCAAAGTTCAATCCTATTGGAAGAGAGGTTTCGAGTTGTTATGGCAGGCAAGCATGAAAGCGGAAGTGGAAGCTCTTCTATCGAAAAATCCAAAGTACAAAATCTGGGTCGCAGGGTATTCTCTGGGTGGTGCAATGGCATCATTGACCAGCACATGGATCAGTTCTTTCAAATTAGCTCCTCGCGAAAACATCATTTTGTACACGTTCGGCATGCCTCGAGTTGGAAACTACGACTACGCCCTGCAACACGATCAATTGGTCAACAACAGTTGGAGAGTTGTGAACGAAAACGACTTAATTCCTCATTTCCCCATAGTTGTTGGAGTCCCTAATATCTTCACTGGTCCGTACCACCATGGCGTAGAGGTATTCTACAGCGACGGAGCTGCAAGCGTTTATTCAAAGCACAGAGAGTGTCACGGGAAACCATACAATGAAGATGCCACATGCAGCTTCGCTGAAAAGCACCTTTCTATCAAACGGCATTTAACCTACTTCAGCATTCCAGTAGGAGGCTTTTGGAAAACAAGATGCCTTCATCCATGATCAAAGAGCGAGAGGCACCGAAAGACTCCGCGGACCGAGTTTTTCGACGAATGAGTTACACGTATGCACTGAACATTTTTAGTTAAAAGAAAAACAGGGAAAATGAGTTAGATTAATTTCGCGGACTATACTAACGAAGACAAGTTTCATTTAGCCTTAAATTTTACTTATTTTATGAAGCAGAAGTAGCAATCTTGTAAAACTCGATTTTCAAGAAAACTCATGTGTTTAATCTTGTTCTATTACTTGGTGATTCAATAAAGTGCGTGCAAGGGGAGCGCCTAACGTTGAACAACACAGTCAACTGCATGATTTCGTCTTTTTATTCAAGTGTGGAAAGGTAGACTTTAAGTAGAATACTGGCTTGTAGGCAGAATTTGGAGGGGTGACCAATCCAACCACCTGTTAAGTCGAGAACAGTAGGAAAGACGAGACAAAAATGGGCTAATCATTGACCACTCGCTCGGATGTAATCCTTTGAGTAAGTACAAGAGGTTACAAACTGCAGACAGGTATAATAATGATGATAAAATGAAAGTAGAATGGTTGGGGTCAGAAGTTGAACAATTATTGAGCAAAAAGCGAAAGAATATCCGGGCAAATGGTTTGCCACTCTAAATAAAAGGACAAGATTACGACCCACGTTATGAACGAAAACTATTAATTTACAGCTCAAGCCTTGAATAAGAAATTAAAGCTCCACCAATGGTAGTAAAAATTTGGTAAATAGTGTTTTTGTTCTGTGGTTATTTGTCTCTCCTCCTTGCTGGGCCCTTAAACTCTCCATTTATTATCCAGTTACTGTGTGATGTGCACTTAATGCAAACTCACAGCTGACACATACACAAGATCGAGTCGAAAGTGTCTACATCTCTCTTTTAAAACTCTCTTGTCAATATCAATACCTTATTTAGCCAAGAGGTGGTAAGATAGGACGGAATAAAATCGAAAGTGTTGCCTTCAGTGGCAACTCATTCTCTTAACGTATCTAATAAGAATTTATAACAACTAAATCTGTGCTACAAGCAGCTTTTTCTCTAACTTTTTTATTTAAGCCCTGTCAACAATGTCCTAATCATTTTCAAGCAGACTTGTTGGTTGGTATTGACCTTTTTGTCCATGATATTTACATTTCCAACATCTAAAACAAACGAAGGTTTTTTTTTAATCGAAGATTCATATGCAGCCATTCTTTCCGCCACAATCGTGATCATAAAGAAAACAGTAGTATTGCACAGCCTAGTTTCCCAAAAAACATTGAGACCCAGGAGGAAACTTTCCATGTTGAGATCGACACTTGAAGATTTGACCGATCAGTGCTGTGACCACTGGATGGTCTTCAGATCGACTCCTTCTTGCACCATTTCCCACAACGGGCTGCAATGAGCAAGATGTACAAATTAAAAAAAAAAATGTTCATCGAAATGTTGCTTTGTCATGCACTGTGATTGGTCAAAAACTTTCTCACAACCAGCTCAACCAGTCAAATGCAAAACTAGACTTATTGCGTGCGTTTTCTACGGCTGCTGGTAGCTTTCGTTGCTGCTTTTGTTGTCGTTTTTTTTTTTTTTAAGGTCTTACCGGCTCCATCTGATAATTTACGACACTGGATGACACCGCCAGACTTTCGCTGTTAGTAGGCTTCATTGAACCCCGGAGACAATAAAATACACACTATACAGATTAAAACTACATGAAAGACCGATAAATAAAGGGGTTAGTTTCTAAACAAACTGTAGTGCGGCGTCGGTGGGAGTATTACGAGATAACATGGTGTTATCAAGCTAGATGATAATGAGAACTAGCCACCGTAAGGATTCTCGAAAGCTAAAGTTTAGAACGTTAGCCCTAACGAAGAGCGTTAGCCGCTCTAACGAAGGGCTATCACTCGAAACGTCAGCTATGACCCCGCCAAAACAATTCCTGGAATGAGGAGACAGCGCTGGTTACCCGATGGGGCTAACTTTTCATTTCATGAAAAGTGTCGTAAAGAAACCAAAATCGTTCACTAAAGGATGATGGTGAAAAAAGAATTCTACAAACCTCATTTCGCGAAGGCGTTTGACATGTTTAACTGTCCTCTCCACAGTGTAATCTATTTCTTCTTCTGTAGTAAAACGACCTATTCCAAACCTGAAAATAGAGGAGATACAAGGAACAGAAGTGTACTTACTCGCCACAAACTAGGTTAAATTTTGCAAGTTAGTTCACACTTCACTTTATTCTGACAAGTAATGCCAATGCGGTGCTGGCATAAACAACAACAGTAAAAAAGAAAAAACTCAAAACAACACAAAAAAATAATTGAATAAAGAGGACGGTATGTCCTTGATCTAGAGGCCTCACAAGGGCCTAGCATTGATATTAGTGCCAGACCAAGACAAACCTCCCCTCGACTCGCCTCAAATCTTCCCGCTGGTAGAGAAATCATTATGAGCATTGAGTTGGTAATTAGCACCGTGTTTCAAAAGCAAGCTGACACGGCATATCAATTTATGCGTAAGGAACTAACGGTAATAACTATTCTCTGAGTCAAGGCATTTCACGCAAAAAAATGTCCTTGACACAATACCTGATGGAGGAGTGAGCCAGCTCTTCATCGGCGCCTATCGCTCGGAGGACATAGGACGGTTCCAACGAGGCAGACGTACATGCGCTTTACGAAAAAAAAAAACACCAGCGTCTGTCATCCTAGTTTCCATCCCCCTTTTTCATGCTCTCCTTTTAAGTCCCTCAAAAAAACGCCCCTGTATAATATGTCCCATTCATAAGTTCATTTCTTTCTCTATTCAAAAGCACTCGGGATAAAACAAATTCAACCAAACTTAACCTTTTAAAACGTACAGTAAGCTTTTCCTACTCAATAACTAACAAGTTTTGAGTGAATTTCATTCTACAGGTCAATGAAAACATACAGAGGGCAAAAGCACTCGATGGATTCTATTAATAAGCCTTATCTTTCGAGATGTTTCTTGTTTGACACACTGAACTCTCCTCACCTGCCTGACGAAAGAGCCACGTCTTTGAGAGCCATCAGCAGACTTTCCCCCTCCACAAATGCAAAAGACAGGTTCACACATCCAGGATAAGAATGATCCGGGTCACCGTTTCTGATGACGTGGGTTAACCCATCTGTGATGCCATTCACCAAGCGATTCGACAGTTCCGTCACCCTCTTGTGGTCATACTGCAGAATTGCAAATATACTGATAACTTAAGGCCAAATTCGCATCTCATTATGACGTCTTCACAGGGATTACACAGCGATATTTGGAGTTTACTTGGATCGATCACATTTTCGCTCATTGAAATAAAGCTTTACTCAGTTACATGGTGTTTTGCAAAGTGGATAAACACAAGAGAGACAAGGAAATAAACGCAGAAAGTAATAGGCATGGCTAAATATAAAGGAGATCAGTACGGGTTGAAAATAAAAATTTGGGAAACATTTATAAAAACTAAAAAAAAATGTGACATAGCCGTTTTAGAGCAATCTTAACCACAGGTACACTTTCCATTTTTAAAAAATCAAAACAAACAAAAATTTCAAAATGGAGCACGCCTTGTGGTCTAGACATCATATTACATTCTATTATCTTCTTACTGGGGGTTACAACTGAGAACCTGAAGAAAAAACCCAGCACTTATTCTTAGCTAGCAAGATCATGCTCTGATTGGTTTACCTCCAATTCCTCTAGAGCCACTTCACAGGCTGCACCCAATCCTACTGCCAACACGTGAGGGACTGTACCACTGCGCATGCCCCTAAAATGACCAAATATTCAAATAAACCACGACGATGGAAAAAAAAAAGAAACTTTTAAGAAGACTTCCCCTTATCATCACTGAAAAATTTGAATCAAGAGGAATTTTTGAGGAACTGGACAAATTAGAAAATGTTAAAAACCGTAAAAAAAGTTATTTAATAAGGGGGTGCATAATTACAATCAAAAAATGTATCTGCACAGTCCTTTATGACCTCTTTCCAGTTTGCCGAATATCTTTGTATCATTTATGTATTGTACCTCTCCTGCCCTCCTCCACTCTGAATAGGCTCTACCCTGACTCGAGGTCTTCTTCTGATGTACAAGGCACCAACACCTGTTACAATAAATCAATAAACACGTACAGCAATCACTCCACTGCTGTGCAAATCCTGTAATTCATGGCCAGGCTTCACAAAATAAACTGACATGGATTATTCACTTTTCTTAACAACTTTTCCTTTGGTGAGAAGTTAGCCAAAATCACTCACATATTTTTACAAGCACTACATAGAAAGAAAAAGAAGAAGGTTTGGGAGAGCTGAAGATTTCTTTCCCTTCCCTACCTGTCATCTCCAACTCATACTAAATGAACATGTAATAGACTGGTAAAAGATTACAAGCTTTCAATGCAACTGCACTCTCTCGATACATGTAAAAGCTTGCACTTTATGCAAGTGAAAGGTACATGCTAAAAAATTATTTTCAAAAGTGCTTTAAAACCAGCATGTAATACTTTGTATAAATGTAACACTTAAAACCACAAAATCAGACAATAAAATATTATCCAACTACTAGAGACTAAAAGCATGCAGCCAAAGTGGTGACCTGCCCCATCAATGACATTAAGTAAAACTACCATGGTGTCTTTTTCTATCCATTTACCTTTTGGTCCATAAATCTTGTGGCCACTGATTGACATCAAGTCAATCTTCAGGTCATTCACATCAATTGGAATCTTCCCAACTGCTTGTGCTGCATCTGTGTGAAAGAAGACTTTATTCTTGCGACAGAGGGATCCTGCAAGAGACAGCAAGAAGAAAAAATCATTATTGGTGGATCTCTAAATTAGCTTAGTGTAGCTGACTGCTTTTTGTTGGACATCAAACAATAAGAGAGTACTTCACTAGACCTCTTCCATGATTTAAAATTTCAAAGTGGTATACATGTGCAATGTGCACCTTTAACACCTTTAGCTGAAGCTCTAACAAAAAATTCATTTTTTTGTAATCTACATGTACCTGAAGTGGAAACATTGAAAAAAGATACAGGGAACTGGAAGGAAAGAAAACTAACCAATGATGTGCATTTATGTTGCAAAGGTGAGAAGAAAAGTTTGAAAGGCAAGTCATTTTTAAAACACCTTTAGCTGTATATAGATAAATGATAATGTATACTTCACAATCTGCATACATCTATGATTTAGTCTACTAGTTATTTTAAGAAGGTTAATTGAATTAGTAAGATCTCACTGAAGACTAATCAGAGACATATGCTCTTTAATGTAAAGGTACAGCAAAGTAGCATTTTGAATACACTAAGTGAGCCTGGAATACTTGTGTTTCTTTTGGTCAGTCTTACCAATTTCTCCCATGGGTTGTGTGACACCAATTTCATTATTGACTGTCATTATGGATACAAGAGATGTGTCAGGTCTGATGGCTGCCTCCAGTTGCTATAAGATGTAAGACAAAATCAAGTATCTAAAGTGTGATACATAAATCTATCTTATCTGCATTTTCACCTTGAACTTCCAAGGTCTACATTGTACATGTAGATTTTAATTCTCCTTTCTAGCTGCTACACATTTCCTTGTAAATTAGTTACAAGAATTTGGTGTTAGATCAAGACAACCACTACTACCTGATAAATTTGAGTATACTAACTTTACTAACTTGATAATGTATGGATGTAAAAGGGAGAAGTTGTATGTTTTATCACCCCTGGGAGTTAGAGGGTTAAGTTTAAAGACGAACATCAAATTAAATCCAGTGTCTTATAATTATAATTTTCTAACCACAGGTTGTTGGAAAAGCAGGACACTAGTTTGTGAGCCCCTTACCTCAGTCATTGTATGAACACACAAAATCTTAGTTGTCCTCAGTTATCACAACTAAATTTTCAAGAACCACTTCACATACCTCCATGTCAATAAGTCCATTTTTCATTACTGGCAGATATGTTACTTCAAACCCTTCACTTTCAAGTGAGCGGCAGGAATCCAAAACACATTTGTGCTCCTATCATTCAAAACCAAGTAATACAGCGATCAAAACTAACAAATTAAACAAATAAATTTTTGGACAAACTACATGCAAATGATGTATGAGCTCAAAATTGAATTCCAACACTCACTGTTTGAGTTGTTATGATATGTTTCTTATTCTTTTTGTAAAAGCGTCCAACTCCCTAGAAAATTAAGTAAACAACATCAGTGAAATTATATATGAAGTATTTATTCCCTAACATCTCAGTATCATTAAACAACACAATTATCAGCTCTGACTCTTAAAGGTAGCTGGAGTTGTTAGTACAAAGTCATGAATGTAGACAGAGACATGTACATGAAGGGTACTACCATAACAAAGGCATGAAAAGAATATGTCAGAACATTCAATTATGGTTCAAAATTGCAAATGAGTAGCATCTCCTTAATGAGGCAATCAAATTGGCTACTACTGAGCTAAGTTTGTGAGAATGATTAAAAAGGTGCTTTGGAATCTGACCATTATTTACGAATTACGGTCAACTTGTTCAATGCCATGCCAACTCACCAACGTATAAAATCGAGTAGAAACATCGGCAAGTTGGTCTTCAATCCAGTACAACTTATTAGAAGTTAAACATATAGAAAAGTAACTCTTTCTTGAGATCCTTATAAACTTTGTTGCAAATAAAAAGAATTGCTTTTTACTAAAGATCTTGTCTAGAAAGCCAAGTTTTCTTTAAAAAATCTGAGCAATTGACATGATGAGTCTTTACGGTGTTGTTGTCACACAATAACTTATTCGCGTCTGAAGTGGATATAGTCATTGGCGATGTTTACTTTACTTTATTCACCTTGAGATCCTTATAAACTTTGTTGCGAATAAAAAGAATTACTTTTTACTAAAGATCTTATCTAGAAAGCCAAGTTTTCTTAAAAAATCTGACCGATTGTCATGATGAGTCTTTACAGTGTTGTTGTCACACAATAACTCGTTTGCGTCTGAAGCTGTTAGAGTCATTGGTGATGTTTACTTTGCTTTATTCGTATTGAGATCCTTATAAACTTTGTTGCAAATAAAAAGAATTGCTTTTTACTAAAGATCTTGTCTAGAAAGCCAGGTTTTCTTTAAAAAATCTGAGGGATTGACATGATGAGTCTTTACGGTGTTGTTGTCGCACAATAACTCGTTCGCGTCTTAGCTGTTATAGTCATTGGTGATGTTCACCAATGTTCACCAATGTTTAAGCTTCTGTTTGATGTTCACCAATGTTCACCAGTGTTTTTTTACTAAATATCATTTACTTTTCTGTATGTTTAACTTCTGATAAGTTGTATTGGATTGAGGACCAACTCGCCGACGTCTCTACTCAATTTTATACATCGGCGAGTTGGTGTTGGCGAGTTGACTGGATACCTTATTTACACTTATACTGATGGAACACAATTTACAATTAAATTTTGGCCCAAAATAGGGATGCCATACATATCTGCTATGACAAAGTCTTTTGTGTCCATTCAAATACATGTACAATTTCAGATTGGTTTAGTCTGCACTTCAACTGCTGGTTAACAATTAAGAGATAACTACATGCACCTTAAACCATCAGTGCCCTTTTGACTTACATGGCAGTTCTTACAAGGATGTTGTAATTAGCTGAATCATTAAAATATTACAAGCTTAATCAAAACATATACATGTATTTTCTTGCATCTTCAATTTGGAAATTATGATGTTGTTAAACTCTGGAAAATTTGGCCCAAAATAGGGATGCCATACATATCTGCTATGACAAAGTTTTGGGTTATTTTAAATAACATCTATCTACACATGTCACAAAATTACAAAAACACACTGGCTGATGTGAATGCCAAAATCAAAAAAATTTAACTTACACCATACCTTAACAGATATGTTGTTTGATTCTGTAGCCCCACTAGTAAATACAATTTCTTTTGGATCTGCACCAATCAGGTCTGCTACTTGCTATAAAAAGGAGATAGGACTTCATGTTTACTGTGTCAATATGAAATATAGCTACCATATATATAAATGAAATCAAAAGACCTGCTCATTGTTTCCAAATCATGTAAATTTACAAGGAATTTGTCCTTCACATTACCTACATATCAAGACAAATTCAACATACTGTACCCCCTACTAAACAGATGAAAATTGTCTCCTGGCCACTAAAACAATTTACAGCTAGGTAACATTGTCTTTGACCAGAAAAGGAAGTTAACTTATAAAATTAAATACAAGAGAGAAGGCAACATCATGAGAAATAACATTCCCTGCTCTAAGAATACCCTTAAAATATCTAGGAAACAAAAGACAAAGTGGGTGGGAAAGAAACAACACTTCAAAAGCAGTGCACCACCATGAGCAATCAAAAGACATCAGTAGGATGTTCAATCCTACTGATCTTTCAATATCCAACTTTTCTAGCTGGAGTGCAAATAATGTAAAAATTGAGTAAAAATATTCTGTTATTGTACAGTTATTTGGGACAGTTTGTTATTTTGCACTGTAATCTGATGCAAGATTTACATAAGCCATATAACAAACTGCTTCTCTATTTTCTTTGCATTTACTGCCTTATAAGAAATGCATGTGAAATAAAGCAAATAACTCTTGAAACATATTGGTGTATGGTATCATTGAATAGCTTTAACTTTGTATTTTGACCAACCTTGTGGGCATGCCAAAATTTGGCATGACTGGTGAAAAATACTCAGCAATATTACACACCAAAATGACTAATAGGACAAACCATGTATATATAAATATATAATATATATATATTTCCGAGATGCAAACAGTTTTCCAAGTCGAAAACTGTGAGCTCAAAGGAACAGATAATGTCCAAGGTCAAATATACCACATAGACGTCAAATATACAAATACACTTTGGCCCAAAATAGAGGCTAATGTGTTTATCATCCTTCAAATATTTTAAAACAAATTTGAAATCATCATTGCCTTAAAATAAATTTTAAATGAAGACTCATCATAGTAACATAAGGTACAAAAATTGGCAAATATCACTGGGGTGATATTGTGACATATCCCTCAGTTTTAGTTGGGTAATAAACAGCTACATGATGCATTTTGACCAATTACTCATGAGCAAAACTGTTTGATGGATCATAAGCGCTAAAAGAATTCCAATAACAGAGTGAGGGGAGTGACTCTTTGTGGTTTCTGTCAATTGTCTATCTCTTTCGGAAAAACCCTTGAGTCCATGCATTAATTAAAAGTTGTCTGGAAAATAATACAAATAAAATAAATTTCATGTTATTATGTGGATGTTACAAGTGGATCGTGCTGTGTACCTTTCTTGCATGTTCCACAGCCTGCTCACTCTCCCAGCCATAGGCATGTGTACGTGAGTGTGGGTTTCCATAATAAGATACAGAGTATGGCATCATAGCATCTAACACACGGGGATCCTTCACAAATAAGTAAATAACAAGGATATCATTTGTTTCAGTCCTAGGATCTTGAATGCCTAATTCTCTTAACTGATCATCATAAACCTCTCTTTGCACTTGTTCTGAACATTTGAATTTTAACCTTTAAACAACACATGTAAAGTATCTCCTTATCAATCATTTATTTTCAACCTCATCAATATAAATAGTTCAAATTCTGAGGCAACTACATGTCCTGATCAAGACTTCTACTCACAGAATCATTCCTTCATTCTCCATTTTATAAGGACATGAAATAAAGGAACTTGCTAAAAGGGTATCCAGTTGGATCACACCATGGTTAGATCACTCCCAGTTAGATTGCTCCAACCAAAAGTTAGATTGCTCCACTTAAAAGTTAGATTGCTTTATCAAATAAGTTACTTCACTACCAACATAAGTTACTTCACTCCATGTTGTAAAGTGAAGTATTACTTACCAATGATCTAGTTAAAGTGTAACGGTGATGATGTATCTTGCTACGATTCAAGTACATCACTCTGTCCTTCATATAAGCCACTGAGCTACCAATGTATGGTAAAAAACTACAAGGGACTGAAATGCTTCCGTGATCTCTCGGACATACATGTTAGAAACAGGGTATGCGAGATTTCTGTATTACTTTTTATTACTTGTAAATTTAGTTTGTGTAATGTCATTTTGCATATGTATTGGGTACTAAGCCAAATCCGGAAAAAAGTGTTTCTTACCAGAGGGGTGGTTGCTTGTGCATCAAGGTAAAGAGGTCTCAACTCTGCACCTTCGTTTTCTATCAAATTAGACAATTTACAGAGTTAGATGACATCTAACAGTAACAGCAAGAAAAACTTAAAATGATTCACAACATGTAGGGAAAACTGCCATCTGCACTAGCTCCCCCTGTCTACCACACTACAAATGACTTAAATTTACAGTGATAACACTACATCCAAAACCACATAGTGTGTCAGTCAACAGAACCAACACTCGGATGATTTTTTGCCCTCAACTTGCCAATACAGTGTATGTCACTCACTTCAGCAGACAACAGTCCTTTCAGGACCACTCTCACTTTTGTGACTACACCTCTTAAGTAAAGAGGTGCATGATGAGAGAAACCCAATATGCAACTATGGGCTTATTTGGTTCTGAATGAGGTTACGTCATTTTGAAGACTGTCTCACTTAATATCACAACATAAGGATAATGATTAGCTTGCCTAAATATGCGAAAAAAATACAAAAGAACTAACCCGCTATACTGATGTTCAACTGATCCAACTACATTGAGCTTAAGTCACTCTTGATCAATGACACATAAATTTTCCACTCCAAATTCAGGTTACAAAGGACACCCCTAAGTTACAAAAATTAATTTAAGAAAGAAACAACAAACCTGTACTAGCTACCCTTGTGGCAGCAGCAGTGGTTTCATCCGTCGACGATGTTTTCAAGCTTTTTGTCAACAAAATTCGACATGGTAATGAGACCAGACGAGGCTTAACCAACAGCCTACTCAACATGGCAAATTGTGACTTTTCCTCAAAAGTATTAAGAGTTCAGATTCGGTCTTCAATCTTTGTAGATGCGCTTATCTACTTATTTTGGTGACATAACAAGTGAGAATGCTTGGTGACCGAGCCTAGAGTACTGTCCCGTAGGGACCCAAAGGAAAATTCGGGAAATCCCGACATGCCAAACTTTTTAGCCTTTCGTACTAGAGCAGGATGCAAATGCTTGTGGTTTTAGCATAAACTCGTGCAAAAGAGCGTAACTTTTGGTTTAAAAAGTACTCTCCTTTTTTATCAATTCGAAAAACGACAGTGAACATTAAGGAAGCTGCGTACGAGCCATGAGGGTGATTAAACCCTTCGCACTTGGCAGAGTTCGCGACTACTAACCTGCTTTTAGGGATAGGAAAGTAAAACGCTTGATTTTGGATCATTTAGAAAATTAATTGTTCAAATTGAAAGAGTCTTACTAAATTAAGTCGATGAAACTCAGAGATAGGCACGCAATGAGTACAAATGGTTGCCATGAACTGGTAAATAATGCATCATGGCTTATTATTCGTTGCATGCGAATGCACTCTGAACAATGTGAGGATTCTATCTTCGTTTTCACATCATGCCTTAGGAAACAAAATTAAAGTGTGGATTGAACAGAACGTGACGCACATCGATTGTTAGGTCATACTAGCGCGTCCTGTGCAAGAAATAAGTTGGAAATTAGATCACGTCTTTTCATTTAGCCGCCAACAAGTTTCTTTCCACAATAACAGGCTCTTTAGATCACACGCATGTCCCAGAGTTCACAGAACGCAAAAAATTTAACAGACTCGAGTGAGACCGAGCTAGGCTTTGTGGTTAAGGCCCACGCCGCTCGCAACAGTGGGCAACTGACGTTAACGGCTTACCAGTTGGCTGTGACCATTACATCCGGTCTGGTTTTTGAAGCTTACAGACTTCACACATGCTTTATCTTCCTGCGCGTTAAAAAACGAGGCCAATACAGGAGCCTCGTTAAGATGGGTGGATCAATTGAAAAACAGCGACAATTACCTTACCATGAGGAAATTGCGTCTTTCAGAGTTATCGAGCGAAATGGCAGTTAATTACGGTCTCATGCGAAAGCATGACACTTCAATCTTGACTTTTCTAGGACATCACAAACCTGTGTCTAAAATTAGTATCAAAGGGCTTAACCTTAATATGGCAATGACGTTTTCAAAAATCCTCCTCTTTACAACGACGTTTAGATCTCGTAGTGATTAAACTTAACTGAATATTTAAAGTTCGTTTGCGAAGTTGATATCATGTTTTCCCAGCGTTCGATCGTCACAATTTGTTTGCACTAAATTCGAAATTGGACATCTATACCGATACTGCAGTTAAAAACGGTTTTTTTCTGAGGAAATATCTATGGTTCGGCTACATTTCAGCCGAGTTATTTTCCAGGCCCTTGATCTCTACGTATATGCGACAAGAAGTGATAAATGAAAAACATGTTTGGCTTGGTGTGGATCCGTATCTAGCCAAAGGTCAAGTTTAGCAAACTTGAATATGCAAATGTCATTAAGGATAACGACAAAACCGGTTCAACCACTGTTGACACCTTGCACGTGAAAGAAGCGTGTAGTTTTTCGACGATTCAGTGCATTTGATAGAATCTTGTCCTTAACTGGAAACCTTGAAGCTCTCTCAACTAATTTTTGTTTGTTTTCAATTATCTTTTTCAGAGGGAAGATTTTCACTGTGGTTGGGATTTAGCGGATTTGAAGCAGCAGTAAAGTTGCTTTTTGATCGACCAATTATTTTTGAAAGTTGTCGGAAATGTAGTCTGAAAGTATTTTCGTATCCTTTTACTCCGATGGAACGATTCCTGAGCGAGTTAATTTTGAAATAATTACAGAAAATTTACCAGAGTAGCTGGTTTATTTTCCGCCAGACCAGTGTAGGCAACACGGATTTCCCGAAGGTTTCAAAGTTAAAATGTTATTTCCGACTCACTAGAAAAGCAGTATGAACTGTGTTCAGTGCAATTGCATCGCAAAACTACGTATTGAAACTAGTGATTGACCAGGATTTAGGAGACCTCAGGATAGTTGGTCAATTCAATGTATATGTTTATGTTCATGCCTAATAAATATTCAAGAATGAAGAAAAACATTCTCCACATGCAACTAGTCGCTTTTCTTGGTCCGTGTCGACAAAGTAAACGTGGATTTGCAACATATCTGTTTCGCTTTCTGTTCTCCGTGGAAGTCCCGAAATATTTCCATGCGTACTTGTACGAAAAAACGTACTTTTAAAGAGCATTTAGCAACCAGTCCATCAGTCTAAAATGATAACTAAACAAAATTATCCAATTCAATGCAACTACACAGGTAATTGAAAACTCTCTGCGTAAATGTCACGACTTTAGCGAAGGAAATAATAACAGACTGAACGCTGTGTGTTTATATTCTTTCGTGAAGCAACTCGAACTTTGCATTGCGTGAGATAGCTTTATAAAGTGTTTGTATATTAGCATCAAAAAGACTTCGGTGGTGTGACTCTATCTAACAGCTCTTGCAGTGTAAATTACGGTCATTAGCATAAGAAAACAAGAAATTTCGCTTCCCAAGTTGAAAGGAGAATGCAAGGGATTAGAAACTTCATGATTTAGTTCCTCACAGAGGCAAAATTCATGTGCATGAGTAGCTAAGCTTTGGTCTCTTTGAAACTATAAAATTAAAAAGCGTTTTGAATCAGCAGGTTGTATCTCCTGAAAATAATTTTTCTCGTATCAGCCGGAAACTTGCAAAACCGGTCATGAACCCGGCCCCAAACTCGACCGACTTGCATGGCTGCAGAAAAATTTTCGATCAAAATCTTGAATCGACAGTCGTTTGTCGGTAAACTCCACACAGCGTTGAGGAGGGAGTTTCGATGGAGGTTTGGTCAAAAATCGAATTGAACCGACGGAAAACGGTCGAAAATTTCGACCTAATTTGTTAGAAGCGCGCTGTGGATGTGTCAGCCAAGAGCACAGCTGACTTGAAGATCGAATGGAAGGGAAAGCGCTTCGAGTACAGCTCGAACGAAGAGTCGACTCGTGTTGGTCGTGGGTAGTGTGTTTTTCATCTTTCATCGTTCAGTTTTTAATTCTTGGAACTCACAATTCATTCGGTTCATTCTTTGTGGCATTGTTGGAGGAATTTCAGCGGAGTGAAGCCGAGACTGGTAAGGAAAATTTATATTTTTTGCCGCAAACAAAGCTCGCGCGCAAATAAAAAATTTATCACCGTGACAGGTTATTTTAAAAGAAAAACTCTGGCAATTTTTCATAGCAACGCAGCTTACACCTCTTCTTTTACAATGATGAACATTTTCCTTCAGCGCAGCGTGGTTAGAAAAATCAAAGCGCTTGACATTTCAAAGCCGCTATCCGCGCGATGGAAAAAATTTTTTTCTCGAGTGCTCTATGTTATATAACACCGCATCTGGTTGATATATGCAGGAAAATGGAAAATGGGTGGTCTGTAAACAACTCTTATGAATAGGGCAGGCATAGAGATAACTTCATTAGTAAATGTAGAAAACCTTCAGAAATTCTGCGTCATCGATTTTTTTTTACCTCCGGCACAGTAGATCTACCGGCGTCTAACGGGAAGTTTTCTGTCGCATAAACCGGTGATGATCTAAGTCTTAACTTGTTTCGCGGCTGAGTAACGCACAAAGGAAAAACCCTAAGTCATGTGACCGCACCCTCAGGGCGAAAGCGGAAAAGAGTTCAGAAGGCTGATCCTTTCGCTTTCAAGCGCTGCCGAGTCACCACTAAAATTTGTCATTTTTAATTTCGTTCTTAGGCATTTTTTTTCACTCCTCCTCGTGTTTTTGTTGACTACGCAATTCGCGTAATCAGTTTCAATAATATTGTCTTCTATGAACTCCTTGTGGCTGCTCACTCACTCGCACATATTTGGATCAATTTACAGCTTCTGTAAATATCATGACATTTACACACAAAACGGTTCGAACTTCGATTAAAATAGTGACGCCTCATAACATCATTATCATAGCTTACTAGACAAACGAAAAGTTAGTCGATGCTGGCGCTGCGATATTGTTGTTAGTTCGCCGTTCTCTTGAGCACCTGATTTCTCGTGAGATTTCGAGAAATAAAACCGGATTTCCTTGATCAGGCCATGACTATTCAGATTGCATGACACCGGAAATTGTTGAAACTCCACGTGAAACATGAAAAACGTCTCGAGGTATCTCCGAAATTAAACGAGAGGAAATGGCATCGATTTCTGTAGAGAATATGATTGGAGCTTTAAAATATAGGCAAACTTTTGCTTGCTTCGTGTGAGTCCCTTTTTTGTGGAAGTCGGCCAGCGGGAACATGGTAAGCCTAACATGACAACGACTTGCTAAACAGGGTTTTCCCGGAGATAAATAATTATAGAGTATAGCTAATCTGCATCATAATGATGCGTCGTCTCGGACGTTGAAGCTGCAAATCTCCTCGCATAATAAAATTGTTTCGTTTTCTTTTCTGATAGAACAAAACAGCTGATAATGAAATTTAAAAAAATTTATAATCACAAGTTAAGCTCTCATAAGCAATCTCCTCATAGTACTGAGTTTCCGCAGGAGCCCATTACTCTGGTTTCCGTGAGAGGTTTGGAAAGAAAACAGTTGAATTGTTTACAAGGTATTCCAAGCAAACTCTAGCAGCTGTGTACACCCCGCTGGTCTTGAGTCCATAACAAATTTTATCATAGAGGGTAGTTCAAACTAAAGAGTTTTATTGGCAATGTATCCCACGAGTATATCAAAACAACTTTTCAGGAGAATACTAAAAACGAGAAGCAAATATCAGACTCCAATTTGCGTTCTTTTAATTTAATCCTCTTTCTTTAAGCTCAGTTGATGCACGCAATGGTGTCAAGTGAGGTATCGAATATTTCGTTTCCTAACTCTCTTGCTGGGATTATTTAGAGTTCATTTTTTTCCTCAACGAAATTTTCAAGATTGTTTCTGGGCGATCGATCGGAGCTACAAGCAAACAGGCGTATTATCATATTTAAGGAATTCCTTTCATCCTCCAGTATCTCAAATATAAACAACTATTGTATTGAAAGAAAATTAAGATCGATTTGAATTCGTGGAATGCATTTCTTGTCTACAAACAATCACGAATAACATGAAATTGCGTCAAAAAATGCATTCAGACAAATTTTAGGCTGCAGTGCATTTTATCCGACATTTCACTTTACAACTTGTTGCCGAAACGTACACAGATCAGATGGGTTCGGATGCCTTTCATTATTTCCGAGTGATGTCGTTTAGATTCATTCGGAACAGCTTCGGTTGCTCGGACATATCAGTTTATTTAGATCCATCATTAAGAAAATGTTCGATTCTATTCAAAACCGAAGTTTTTTTTGCCATTTACGATAGGTTCAGCAATATTTTCCTTGAATATTTTACATAATGGTTGTTGGTTATTCTGCTAAAAGCTGTGTTTCGTTTAAAATATTTTAAAATTTATTTTTTGTGATTATTTTCAATAGCATGGATTGGCTCGTTGGCTATGGGTATCACATACATGGCAGCACCGATTGCTACCAGCCTTTGCGACCGCTGGGGATGCCGGGTGGTTATGTGTCTTGGCAGTGTGACTTACATGGCAGCGATGCTTCTGACGTCAGTCGTGCAGCACATGTCACTCATGTACATTACATACGGTGTTTTGTTTGGTTTCGCATCCAGTTGTTGTTACTTCTCATCATTTTACATCCTTATTGTGTATTTTAACAAGCACCTCGCTCTCGCCAATGGTATCGCCGCCGCAGGCGCTGGGGCGGGAACAATGTCCTTGAGCCTGACCGTGGACAAGTTGATCGCCTCGTATGGACTTAGAATGACTTTTAAAGGATTGGCAGCATTGTCCGTCTGTCTTTTCTTAGCTGGACTAACTTTCCTTCCTATTGACTTCAGAGAAGGAGAAGACGAGCTTTTGAAAAAGGAAGCACTCTTGAAAGAACAAGAAGAGATAAGAATAAAAGACCGATTGGTCAAAAATATCAAAGAACTGTTCAAGCCTGCTCCAGTGTGGGGAAATAAGCCATTTGTCGCATGGACCGTGGCCTTAGCTATGGTTCTTATTGCCTACTACATTCCCTATATGTACCTGGTAAGTTCTTATATACAACAGAATGTCTTTTAGGTTTGACGGATGGCCAAGGGGATCTAAAGCCGTACTTTACTCTTTGTTTCCCACTCCCTTTCCTTGCACTAGAATTACATTGAAGAACAATGCAGCAGGGAACCTATTTCTTCTTACGAAGACCAAGACTCGGAAGCGAACCGAGTGGAATCTGGGTTCTAGGCTTACGAAGCTCATCCATTGCTGCACCTATTCGCTTTCTAAAGTGCCCTGAAATCCACCGATACATGAGCTATTTCTTCATATAATCATCCCTATTCATCCCTATTTAATATGTGTTGGATTTTTCTTTATAGGTTCGTCTTGCAGAGAGTGTAGGCATACCGTCAACTCAGGGGGCCCTTCTGGTTGGTTATTTTGCCTTGGCCCAAACAGTCGGCAAGATCTTCTTTGGGAAGCTTGGGGACTCATCTCGGGTCAGCCGTTTGACCCTTACGCAAATAGCTCTTTTGGTCATCGCTGTGGCAGCATGTCTGTGCCCCTTGGCCCAGTCCCACTCAGCCCTTCTCACTTACTCCTTGGTGTCGGGGCTCTTTGATGGGTGCCTTTGTGTAATGATCGGTCTTGTCACCCATGACATAGTGGGCCGTCAGATGATGGCAAAAGCCGTTGGGACTTTATATGGTATCGTGGCGATTCCTATGACAGTGGGACCTCCTATGGCAGGTAGATATCAGGTTTTTTTTAACCTCACTGACAGTTATTTTCTTTCACGTCACGTAACACAGTACATTGTATTACTTTGTGTTGTTTAATGTTCGTGACCATTGGTTGTGATTGTTTTTAGCCGAAAATTCAAAATCCATTCCTGGACTTCATTGTGTGTTTAAGTGTCGTTGTTTCTTCTCGTCACTTGCGCCTACATATTGCTCATTTAATCCAATTTTTCCCTTGCAACGTGCTATTAAAACCCAAAATTTCCCCTTTATTGTTCCCAGGTTTTGCTCGGAGAGCAGGGAATTCCCGAGTTGAACAGAGATATGCCATGTGGTATTTCTACTTTTCTCAGCCAACCACGAACCTGCCAGTATCAGATTGGATAGTTGTGGTTCACAAAGTCCTCGGATGTCACCAGTTTGCTTCATTCCTATTTTTATCTTGCAGGTCTTCTTTTTGACAGCACCGGCAGCTACAACATTGTCTTCTTCCTTTCTAGCGGTCTCGTGATTGGCGGAAGCTGCGTCATGTTTCTCATCCCAATTCTGCTTCGCTCCAAGCCAAGCCCGCTTAAAGTCATTACTCCTGAGATCATCGTGTCAATGCCAGATAAGCTCCAAGACGACGATGAAATTAGTCTCCTCGAGGGCGATACAGCCAAACTAAGAACTTCCCATATGTCCTTTAGAAGCCTCGCTGACGAATTAGGGATCTACAGGAGTCGCCTGTTATTGGACAGGACGCCAAATCTGAGCTCTCGTCCAAGCAGTTTTGTGCTATTTTCGATCGTGCCGGAGGGAAGTTTCAGAGATTTGTCTCAGTTAAATGAACGATATTCCAACAGTAGAGGGGCAAGCTACACCTCCTTAGTAAGACTTTCAGAAATAAAAGTCGACAGCAGAGTCAACAGTTGCGCTCGGTTAGAACCCGTCGCCGAAGCCGAGGCTTGGGATTCAGGTTTGCCTTCCGAGCATCTTGACGTCATAAAACCACCAACAGCTGTACCTGAACTGTTCGTTACTGTATCACGGTCATGTGACTGTATTAACGAACCTGCTAGCCATGTCATGACTATAGATTTAAATAAAGACAGTGCGTCGGTCGAAATTGTCTCCAAATCCACGGAGAGTGGCTTTGCTTCTGAAGAATCTGTTGTAAGCGCTTGTGACAATAGTATCGAGCTTATTTCTTCCAGTTCAGATTTGGATGGGAAACGCTTAAGTGGTTACTCGTGGAATTCAACGGGAAGTAGCCTGTCGTGTAAGACTCAGTGTTCCGAGGCTGGCACCGAGGACAGTGGGTACGGCGACGACTTGACGCAAGCGCACTGTGTTACGGAAGGTAGCTCGGAAATAGATGATCATATGAAACCATCCATGTGCACTTTCGTCTCTCAAGATAGCTTGCAATCCGACTTAAGACAAGATAATGGCTACTGCAGCTGTGATTCTTCGCTAGATGTGCAGAAGAGCTACACTGAGGTCACTGGCACTGATGACGAAGCGATGGCTGGGCACGCCCGGAAAGGGCTCCTTATTGAAGACGCGTGCCATTCAAACTTCAACACAGGGGAACAGACGAGGATGGTTATGGAACTGTCTAATTGTACATGTGGAGAAGAAGAAGACGACTCCGTCAACAAGCTCATTTCAGACGCCCAAGAAATAATTGAACTTAAAAAGCCTTATATATCAGTGTTACCTCAGCCACCAGACATCTACAGTGAGTTGTTCGAGGGAATACTGGAAGAGGTGAATGAGTACGTGGAGAATTTCTCGGAATTGTCCGTTTGCCAGGGCACGATGAAGACATTGCCGAAAGTAAGCATGAAAGATATAATATCTTGCGAGCAGGAAACAGTTGTTTGAATTATGAACGAATGGAGAAGAGGCTACTGAATAAGAGCGGGAGCGCTGGGAATAGACTCGGCGTCAGGCTATCAGGTCAAATTACTGATTTAGAGAAAGAGAGAGTATTCCAGAACATTACTCTCATAAGTCATTTAGGAGCTAACTGAAAGCCACATCATAATTAGCTATCCCCGTGCTAAAACGTTGTTTTGGTTAATGTTACAGTGGAATGCATCAGAAGATGCATTCCATTGTTTATTTGTTAAAGAGCACCTGTTACCAGTTTAGTAGCAAGCGGAGGATCTTTTGTCGTCATTGCCTGCTTAACGTAGTAATTCAGACAGAGCGACCTCTGTGGAAAATGTGGCGTAATGCTATTGGAAAAAAGCCTTAATCAGAAAAAAATGAATCGCAAGAAAGCTTTCAAAAGAATTCCAGTGTATGCGGGTGGTAGAGCTACTGATCTTTCCACTGTAAACATTTACTAGAAAGCCTCAGTGGATCGAAGATGTCATTTAGTTGACGCAGGAGGGAATAATCAAAGGATAAATACCGTCTGTAATCGAGAATCCGATTGATATAAGTTTCAATCACCTTGTGACAACTGTTACCCCACCCCCCTTTCCCTCACCAGCACCTGTTTGCTTTATGCTACAAAATGGTATTTCAAAATGTAATCAGCTCTTAGAATAGCTCGGATATAATTCCCTAGTATCAGAAGATATTTTTTGCCTTACTGAACTAATATAAGAGGCTGAAATTCTTATTTATAGAATGCTTACATGACAGGGGTGATACGTTCCCCTCTTGTCACTAACCTCGATTCCAGGATCTCTATTCTTTGTTGATTAATGGAAGTGTTAGAGAGAAAGGAAACGGAAATTCCAGGAAAGGCCTAAAATTGAGGCTATTACCGGTCACTTTTTTCTGTTGTTTCAAAGATAGACGCAATAACATGGATAATGAAAGCAAAGCCTGTGCAGATTCCCTCAGAATGTTGTCGCCATTTTGAGTGTACCAAAAAAAAAGAAAAAAACTTCTTTTTTTCTTATTTCGTAATATTTGGGGTTGGATTAAAACTAAAATATATTTTAATGATGAAATATGAAGTAAATATACTTGAGAGCTTTTTATTTTGTCAATCAAGAAAAATCATATATATATATATAGATAATAAAGTTGTTCTATTCATTAGTTAGAAGCTTCAATTTCTATGGTTATCAGGGTATAGTTGACGAAAACAGAAATGTCGGTATATTTATTACTTCATAGGTAACTCTGAGTTTGAAACAAATCTAAACTCTACATCCAAATGTCAGCTCCTTCAAAGCTCTATTTAAAAAAGTGAGAGTGGCTGTAATAATTATTTAATAGCAGTCATGCAAAATGTATTTAATAGGTTTTGGGACCCATTTACTGAAAATATGTAATTAACAAGCATTTGTAAAGTGAGTGACTAGTAATAATGAAACTCTTCCGTGAAGATTTCAGTCCAAAATTAGCTAGAAATTATAATGATTGTTCTGCCGTAATAATTGTGTGTTTGCATTACTCTCGGATATTTGTTTTTGCCTGTTTTGCTAGATCTCTTTTTTAAACAGTGTAAAATGTATTGTGCTGGATGGTTGTTTGGGAAACCAATTAAAATAACATTATTTTTCATTTTGTATGGTGTTCAGCTCAGCCACAAGGTGGCGTTGCTCTCTGCTCCAAGGTCATTGTTTTGAATCTGTTGTCTCCGTTCTCAGGAAGATTAGAAGCCTTAATCATCATTTTTCCCGCGTCGCATGCCAGGGTCAGGGGTTAAATTTTTTCTCGGGAAAAATATGTAGATATGAGTCGCAATTCAAGTTTTCTCTTTCGTGAGCAAGATTATGACCATTTTACTGGCTTCTATAAGCCTCATTGGATATAAATTTATATCCTTTGGATTGTGCGCAAGAACTGTCCTGGGCACATAATAAAATGAACTGCTTATTTTGATACAATTTATTTCTGGCCGGCCAAACCCGATTGAAGCTCAAAATTGGCTGACTACATCATGCACTAGGACAGGCACACCTTTGGTTATCAAATTACAACGCAAACAAACAAATTCGTATCTGACTGAATGGACAGATGAATGTTAAGGAACATTTCCTGCCTTCACATTCACTGTATCTGCATGTGCTATCGGTCGCCACGAATACATGATTGCAGTTGAGTATTTTGACAAAATAAATAATGTGCATCAAATTTGTAGTCTCTTAAGACATGTTAAGGGTATCAAGCGACGAAGTGCTTTTATCATAATGAATATACGAAATAGGATTCCATTTCTGGGTTAATCACCTCGATCATTCAACATGCCTTGAAATTTTTCTTGGATAGTAGATTTTCTCAGATAGGTCAAGACAATTTGAAATTCCTTTCGTAACGCGCAAAACTTCCCTAAACCACTGATTGTCATTAAGAATATCAAGATGGAAAGATAAATTCAGGAAAGGACGAGAATTTGTTAGAATGAAGAGGATCGACACTGACTCTAAAGGACTAACTTAGCTTAAGTTTCTCAAGTGTAGCTCTCTTGACCTTGCGTGACAGTATTTGATTGTATGACAATTGTTCTAGCCAATCAACGTACAGGAGTTGACACACCTCCAACACACCCTTTCATCGAAATAATTTTTGAATAAATATAACTGGCGCCGCGTCTAACAATATGGCCTTTTGTTATCCAAGCTAATAATTTAAATTGCCATGGCGCAGTTCAAACTCCCGTTTACAAGGCTGATGATTTTGCAAACGACAAAGCTTTAATCGAGAAGGGGCTTTACAGTTACTACAACTCTTGAAAACTCGATCGAAACCTTTCAAAGGTGAGTAACGAGAAGTAGCTGAAACTTTTGAATTGCTGCAGAGAAAATTATATCTTGTGTTAAATTTTCGAGCGACACCTGACTGAAAATTATATTTAGACCATCTGCCTTTGTATAGAAAAACTCAGTTCCTTTTTCGTGTTGTGCTGTCTCTGCCCCTTATGTTGCATTACGCAACTCCTTTCTGTGATTTGAATTACATAACTCTTTTTGATCGTACCTAGATGATACTTTCGGCTTCGATTATTATGATCAGGAGTCACTAGTATGGCGATATCGAGTTCGAGCATCTTTTGCTCGATTTCTACAACCGTTTGTGCCGCCAAACTGACTGGAGACAGGGTGGCCGGAGTCTTAGGCAATTTTTCGTAACTATGGCCACATTTCCGACCAGTTGTTGCATGGATTCACGTTGTTTTTGAGGAGATAAGAGCGGTTGTCTTGTAAGTAATTTTTTAAGTCAGTTACGATTTGACAACTTAACATTCTTTCGATATCAAATCACTGATTAATATAAAATTCCTAGTCTGGCAAAGAGATCCTAAGTTTTCTATTTCTTCGCTTTCTATATTTTGTTTCTTGGTATCGTGCGTAACAAAAACTTTGATGAAGCTGAATTTTGAAGTTTACTTATTCTCTTGAGTTTTTTAAACAACGTTTACGTGAGCTATCATTCTGGTGAAAACCTCGATTCGATGACGACGCCATTTGATTTGATGATAGGATCAGTCAGAAGCTTTCGATGTATTTTCGAGAAAAGAAATTCGCAATCACACAATTATGGGCCTTTCCAAACGAGTGAGGCTCAGTTAGAGAGACGAATTGGACCTCTGTTATGTTCACACGCACGTTATGCGGTAACTAAGGTAGAGTGTTTCTTACCTGTGGGCAGAATTTCCTGTTTGTGGTCGTCGCGCGAATGCAGATATATCCTCTCGGTATTCAAACAATTCATATATATTCTCGTCAAAAGCCAAGTTCTTCTAAAATTTATTTCGACCCTAGCAAGGGCTATTTTCACCTAGACGGAAAGCGTTTTCCTTAGGGGCGTCTCGCCATGTCTTTGAAACCCTCAACATTTACCTCCCTCGTATTGCTCGTCCATCCACATCTAACATATTCAGGGAGAACATGTGTAATTTTATTTAAGGCAATTGCCCATGCTGCACATGAGAGTCATACATCACCGACTTTGCCATCCAAAGGGAGACATGTTGCTCAGAAAGAGGGCTAGTCCAAGAGACAAAATCATGCAACACAAGCAGCCAAGCCCGACTCTCTTCGAGCCGGCGGCGATTTGAGCACTTAATAAGTCCGCCAGGTATCGCACGTTCCTGACTTCGCTTGCCAGCTCGAATATCTAGGGCTTCGCCGCTGGTGTTTCGGCGCTAGTAAAGAGCCTCCTCACGAGCTAAGTTTCACCGGAAAGCGATATGATTTGAAATGACACAAGCTCTGCAAAAGGAAGTATTAATGAAATACATGATTCTGCGGTAAACTCATTTACAAAAAAAACAATAACAATATGGCTTGCAGTTGTATGCTGTGTTTCCCGGAAATACTTCCCGTTCCTTCGCTCAAGTTATTGTCATAATTTAGTATTTTCACATTATCGTCCATACCGTTTTGCACAGTAAACCTCGCTTTTCAATTATTCATAGCTAGCTGTGTGATTCGAACAATTAAATTCCGTCGTGTAAATTTATCTTGAATGGGGTTTGATTTGTTCCAAGTGGCAGATTATTTGCATGAAAATTTTAGATGACTGGTATTTTTGGTCCGTTGCTGGTTAAGAGAACTGATTCTTTATAACTAAGACCTATCTTAGTCTATTTTAGATATCTGTTCGACTAATCAGTCTTTCTATGAACATTGCTTTCAAGTGATTATTGTATATTGTTTGATGGTTCAATTATTCATAGCACAGGTCGCTGCTTTATATGATTTTAAATATTTTTAGAGCTCGTCAATAGCTGAAAATTGATGGGAGCCACCAATACTTTAACGTGTAAGTTTTCGTCAGTTACGGAGCGCCTTTTCCGTTTTCAAACGCTAATTTTTGACGGTTCTTTGGAAAGGAGTTTGATTGTGGTACTAGAAAAAAAAGAAACTCCCTCTGGTTGCCAGGTACGATACAAAAGAGTTTTAAAAGTTTCTCGTTCGGAAGAAGTTACTATACAAACCTAACGTACCCGGAAAAATGATTCCTGTGTACTTAATATGGAACATTAGAACACAGTAGATATATCATGTAATTAACCTAATTGCACTGTGACAAGACTTACAACTAAAGCACGTGTGCATTATCCCTAAACACTTTGAAGAAAAAATACATTGTACCAATCCTATCAATTGGGAATTTCTCAGTGATTGAGTGTGCGTATCCATTTCTCCTATGATCACCAGATCATAGCCAATGTATCGTTCATCGTTAGCTCCAGAATTTACTACAGTAATTCTTACTTAGCTTTGACGACTGAATGGTTAAATATGGACATCCTTAAGAAAAAAAATTCTAAAGATGGTGTAAATCAGATAAGGGAAGGATCAAAACGATGTATAATTATTCATTTGCGAAGGAGACAGACGTCCACAAGTTTTCCCGCTTTAGACTAGTCTTCATGTTTACGTTCAACTTAGCTACCGTTGACACATTATTTTTCGCTTTCCTCTAGGTTAAAATATTTTTGTATCTTCGCTGTTAGCAATTGACACTATTGGGCTGTGACAGGATGACAATAATTCCGATGAAACCAAACATGTTCTCATTGGAGGAAGTTTCATATCACAACGACGTGTCTTCCTGTTGGATTGTAATTCAGGATAAAGTGTATGATTTGACTAACTTTTTGTACGAGGTAAAACTCCGAGTTGAACTCGTAAATTTTTAAATATATCAAACATTTTTGTCTCCGAACGATTTTTTCGGAATGGTAAACATTTTTAGAGAAGTCGTGCTGAGAGGAACTTAGTTCCATGCACGTCGACAGTTGCGGTGACCCTTAATGAAAACTACTGCTCTGTAGACCCAAATTACACAATGTCTATTACCTGCGAAATTGATGATAACCACTTGGTTAGCAATATCAATTTTCGTGCTCAGTTCTTCAGAGAAAAACTTATGACACCCGACCAGATATAATGAATAATTGCAAAATACAATTTTTGAAGTTTTTAAAGTATAGGAGTAATTAATCCAGTTGTTGGTAGTGCAGCCTGTAACGGCAGAAAACGTTATCTTTCCAGCTCGAAATGATACTGTTTATTAGCTTACAGTAATAGTGGCAGGTTGAAACTAAAAACATAAATAAGATTTAAGTTAATTAATTAAGATAAACAATCTACAAACAAAAAATCAAGACAAACAAAGCGAAACGAAAAAATATTTACACCCAATATATAATTGTAAAATCGACTTTTAAAACAGAGAACTGCGCCAAGCTTGACTTAAGGTAAACTAAGATAATATCAACTCCTGAGGTAAATTGACTTTATAGTGATTATGCTAAAAGAAACTGGCTTTAAATACAAGAGGACTGCGAAATAACGTGTGGTATGAGAAACGTGCGAAAAAGGTGTACCTGACTAAGAAAAACGCAAACAAACGTAACAAAAAACATTAACGATGAGGTATGAAAAAATATAAGACGAAATAAATAAATACCTATTACACGAAAAATGACTAGCAAGCGCTTAGATCTTGCAAAGCCTTTGGTTGAAGATTTTTAGCTCCCACTTGTCACACCGATTTTAATTATAGTCCAGTATTAACCTAAAAGAAGTGTTATACATCATTGTTTCAGCATCCTGGAGGACTTGAAATAATATTGGAACATGCAGGTGAGTGAATAGCTGATTCTACTCTTTTGGATTTTCCAAATCTTTAATATTTGGTTTAATCCAAGGGTTGGGAACACAGCTGCTAACTTTTCGGTCGTTATGGGGAGCTAGGCATAAGAGATCCTCTTCTGGTATTTTTCACTTTCGAAAATATGCGTAAGTGTAGTATTTCACTAGACTCAGCTCCGAAATGAATGACACTAAGCATTTTCAAAACTGTTGCAGGTATGGATGCAACCACCGTATTCCACGACATAGGTCACTCGACGGAAGCCAAAAAGATTCTATCGAAATACTTTATTGGAGAGCTTAGAGAGGTTAATTACTATATACGTGACATAAAGTTTTAAAAAATGTTCATTCCACCAACTTTGCTACACGTTGCGTGGTTGCTCCAATTTTGCAAGGATGGTCAGGCTTTTTTCCCGGTGAACTCGATAATATCAATAAAAGAACAAAATAGTTAGGATACCATACTTCCTTATTTTATTTCATCGACGGTTAAAAGGAAAAAAGTGGCCTATACGAGTTTTTCAATTGATTTCCATAGTTTTCCAAAAGCAACCCCTTGAGAGGAGGGACGAAAAACACTGACATCATGGGATGTATCTAATCGGGACCCCCCTAGATTGAATGGTATTTAACCGGCTAACGGATTGTGGGTAAGGAAAAGATTGTTAACAGTGGAGTTGATCGTCCTCTTTCCAACAGTGATCCTTGTGGCTCTTAGAGCTTTCATCTCGTAGTCCACTTGGTAGTTTATCGTCTTAGTGTGGAGGAAATATAAATAATTTGATTTAGCAATCATCATATTGCTCCCTGAAGGCGCTTTGGAAATTATCTGTGAATAGTTCCGTTAGGTAACGATCATTTGCCTCGTTGCAGACCGACAGAATCTACAATGACAAGCCCAAGCCTTAACGGACAAACAAAGGTGATAAGCTGCAATGATTACAAGGACGATCATTAGAGATATCATATGTTCTCACGATTACGAGAACATATGCGATAACTTTAAGGAAGCTCCGTTTCTGACGTTTGAGTCCATTTTAGCGTCATCATAATAAAGAACTCTCGATCTCTCATTAAAATTAGGCTGGATTTTGATGAAGGTGAAAATGTCCTAACCTTATTCCATCAAAGAGTCTACTAGTGGCAGTGAACGGGGGGGGGGGGGGAGGGGGAGAAGGGAGGAATCAGGGAAGAATCCCAGTGGACATACTAGTCGAAACTTTAACCAACCGCTGATGGAGACCCATCTGGATGTAACTTGCGTTCTATTTCATTCCTCGAACTTTGAAAATTTCCTTTCCTAATTTTCCATAGAGTCTTCATATTTGTTTATTGTGCATATATCAAAATAACGACATTTCCTATGACGAAAGCTGTGTAGCATGAAAACTGCAATTTTATTTTGCGGATTGGCAAATTTTTGTCTTTTGCAGTTAAAACGTCCGTTCGAGATGACTGAAATTCCGATGCAGGTAACTATTTTTGCAAATGTTTTTGAAACAGCAGAACAGCAGCATTTGGGGAAATTTAATATTGTTAAATTTCCCAAAATATTTCCCGCGAGTTGGAAAACGGAGGGTGAGGACTTACCTCCCCCCAGCTTCAATAAACAAAGACCAACTCGGCGAAAAGCGCAAACAACGTTGTTATGTTGACTTTGATTTTCACTTGTACTAGTTACAATCATGGCACATATGTTGAAAAAAGGGGAAAAGCTTTCGAGGTTTTACATAGCACCTCTGTCGATAGACTTTAATTCTCCTCGATCTGGTCTTTTGTTCCCTTTCTGTGACAATTCTTCCTCGTCTTTCATTCTCACGACCAGTTACACGTAGCAATAGGCTTTCACAATTCCCACGATATTAGCGTTGACTTCAGTGTGAGTGAGAGGTTGGCGGTGTCTTTCAAATTTCGACTGTAAATGTCTTTTCTGTTTTTACCAAATTGTTGCTCATACAATTAAAAGTATTTCTCGTTGAAAATAATTTCCGCATATGGCAGCTTAAAGTTTACGGATCGCTTGGCTCAATTAACATTACTTGATGTTCATCTGTTGTTGAAAGGATGCTGGATAGCTTACTCGATTTACAAATTTTTAACCTAAAATTATGTTGTTAATCTTTAGGAACTAACAAGAAAACACTACAGATGATGATGCGTTTGGCAACCTGGGAATACGACAAGTCTATTTTCCGTAGGTGCGAAGAACAATGGAAGTGATTCTTCTTTGTGAAAGAAGTTAAACCCTTAAGAACTTACTCTGAAGACAAAGCCAGTCATACCCACTTTGTCTTCTTCCGGCAATCCCTACGGGGGCAGTGACATGAGAATAAAAAAGAGCCTGGGAATGAGGTTGACTGCTAATGCACAAAACACTCCACAAGATAGAGCGATGTCAGTTTTATTGCTACGAGATATCTGTAATTTGGACTCAAGTTTTACTTAGGCTAAGTTTGGTCCTTGAGAAATCTGATCGTTAAATCGAGCAAAAACAGGCTAGCTTTCAAAGTAAGAAAAGCTTTTCAATAAATGTTGTTTGTTTGAACTACTGCTTTGACTACCTGTAGGTTAACCATTCAATTTTACAGATCAAATGACATCCTTTTGTTACTAGAAAGTAATGTAAAACTGCAAACCTAGATTAGCATGTAAATGTTTAAGTTTAAAATTGATGGGCACAAAAACTGTCAGGAATGTAGTAAAAGAGAACCACTACTGGAATGTGTTAAATGTTACCGCTTGTTTACTTCTGTGCCTTAGTACAAAGACAGGGGAACGTTTGGTCTTGTAAGATATTTCGTGATAACAAAAGGAGCTTTTGATTTTGTCCGATTTCATCCTGCAATAACCTAAAGGGCGATTTCTAAGAAACATCAACTTTTGAATCGAAATTCCTCTAAGTTTTTCTCCACTTAACATTCGAGGCAGTTCTGAACTAGGAACTTAAAGAAAAAACACAATACTACGAGGAACGAGTACCTTAATATGTTATTTCATATCAGGCGTAGGGGTTTCTCAATAAGGTACCGTTTTCGTTAAGATAGGGGCCTAAGTCCCAAATAAACTTTTTATGTTCCTCTTTTTGTCTGCAACACTTTCTTTCTCGTGTGCACATGATACATACAAACTGCCGCGTATCCCCCTTCCATGAATGTGCAAAGCTACAATCATCGATATCGGAAAGGAGGGAACGAGGGCCTTTGTGAATCCTGCATTCTACAGACTTAAACGCCCCTAGAACCTTAAAACCATGGTGAAGTCTTCCTTCCTGATCAACTTGTGTTGGCTGGAACTCCTGCGTCACTCCTCCCTGGGTCCCTTCGACGGCTTTCCATGAGCCACCTTTTTGAGGAACCAAAGTGTGTCTGCTGGGTAACTGGCTAGGTTTCAGACCTTGTGCCTGGGTTTTTGCAGCTGTTTGCTTTACCACAGTTGCGTAAGTACATATCTGAGTGGTATTTGCACCGTCTTTGTGGGTGCCTGTTGAAGCAGCCGTCATTCCAGACTTCGGAGACTCGTTACTGGCAGCTAAAGGCAAATCAAGAGCTTCATTGGCTGACTTGGAGTATATTTCCGATCCAGATGGACAGGAGGCAAGTTCCCTTGGTAGCTTTTTACCGTCCTGAAAAGAGGTGTGGGCTTCTACATTAGCAGGAATTCTTCTTAGCTGATTGACCTTTTGGTTTTTTTTTCTCGATGGAACAACACTCTTTGCAGCATTACCACCAAACTTTGACTTCCTCATAGATGAGTGTGGTGTTCTTCTTTTCCCTTGCTTCCTGTTCATGATGGAATTATAAGTGTCCTTGTCGATAGGATCAAATGCATAAGGACCAGCGACTGAGAAGCCAACATAAAACCAGAGGTCGTCTTTACTCTCTCTTGGATAAAGTGAGTCGTCAAAATGAAGTTGAATTCCGTGATATGTTATGATTCCCTTTGACTTCTTTTGACCTCGTACTCGCAAGAGTGTCTCGGATACTTCTTTGCTTCTCCAGAAGTCAGTTTTTGATTCCAGCTTTTTCTCTAGCTCTGGGAACTGTTGACGGCTTACTATGGCAGAGAGCCCCATGCCATTTCCAAGAAAGTACTCTGTAGCGGATTTACGAGCACCCATGCCTCGCCTCTGTCGAACGTTTCTCCAACATTTTTCGACAGACTTTGATGCCTCAGAAGTATTGGTTGCCAAACTTCCATTTGGAATTGGGAAATGGATCATATAGTTAAAAAGATGCGCCCATTCTGAATCAGGATTCCTCTTCACCCACTTCTGCACAACACTCTCGAGTTCTTCAACTGGTACTTTCGTTTGTTGTAAACGCAAGCAGGCTCGACAGAAAATCACCATGTCGTCATGGTTTCCACGACCCCGCTGAAAAACTTGTTTTAGGAGATGATAAATTCTTAAAATTGCCTCGTCATCAAGGTTGCACCAGGCGCTATAAGATATTTCATTTTCCCTGAAAAGGACATCTTGTACCACTTGCCTATGGTGGAGTGCTGCCTCTTTAGCCTGGGATAATAAGTCCTCTTGGGTATCCACAATCTCACTCCGGTCAAATTCAGTGATCTCGTAAAATTCTCTTCGCAACTTGCATGCCCTGACATTTGTACAGCTTAGGCGCCTTGTTTCATTTTCATCACAGGTGGTCAGCAGCTTGTATTTGACATCCTGAAAAAGTTCGTTAAGTGTGTCCAGAAAGATTTGACCAAGGCTCTGTATAAAGCTGTGATCTTCTTGCGGAAGCACGTCTGCCATTCCTGTTGGGATCTTTCCCCCTTCGAGATACCTTGTGTAGCTGCTATTCTCCAGATAGAAGCAAGGTAAGGACTTCACGATTTTCAGGAGGAGGACAATGACTTGTATTTTGCCAATCACAGAGTAAAGGTTGTGTCCGTGTTTTCCCAGTATTACGTGATCATACACCTCCAGTGCTTTGCGACCTATGTCAATGACGTCGGGCATTAAAGCCTCAAGATCATGTCCAGATTCAGCCTTCAGGTCTCTCAGGCGTAGAATGTACAGAACACCTTTGGTCGTGTAATGGTTTCTGTATTTAGGTTGTAGATTAATAGCGATATCAATTGCAACGTGAGCAGCTTGAACACCAGTTTCCGGCATGGTCTGCATGGCTTCCCCCTCTCTGTTTGAATTAATTTCATCAAATAGACGACTGTGTAAAATGTCCTCTCCATCAAACTTTTTGAACCGCATCTCATAACCAATGAATCTTGCCAAATACTGCTAGGCAAACGCTATATATTTCGTTTTCCTTGCTTTTTGGCAGACCGTAATAAGCAGATCTAATGTTCTTCGGCTGCCATCTTCTCCTCCTAGAATTTCCAGTATTAGAGGGGAGTACCGGGTGCGGACATCATAAGATCCCTGTTCTTCGGTTTCGATACTAGTACTCATTTCATCTTCAGCCACTTCCTCTTCTTGCGGAATGGTTGCTTCATTAGATACCCTCTCACGGTGCAACAGAATCTGGAAAAGTTGTTGTTTTAAATATTTGTTGACATAAGCCGTTCCTCTATCGGCATGTTCCAAAAGTTGTTCTGCAATTTCTTTCACATTCATTTGTGATTTGACGAATTCGCTGACAAGAGAGTGTGCAGGTCGCCAGCCATGATACCCGTAGGTTTCGTTGAATTCATCGAGAATAAGACCTCCAAATTTGTCATGAGTATAGGACATTTGAGCACACTCTGAATCTGTCTCACCACTTGCTTCGTGAAGAAAGTCAACTAAAACGGAGTGGGGTAAAATGTCTGCACCATTACTATAAAAATGAAGGAAGCAGCAAAAATGGAGCAGCCTCTCATGTGCGTCACGAGAATCTCCGAGGGTAGAAAGAGTGCTCTGGATGTGATTACGAACTCGTTCCTCAATCTTGACATACTCCCGACCGAAGAGCTCCAATCCAAGCCAAATAAATCGTCTTTCTCTCTCGAGCACTTCTTCAGCCTCTCTTCGACGTCCCTTGTCGTTGGTCACATTGATAAGGATGTCCTTTACAAGGATCATTTCATCTTCATCCAGTTGAGCAAGCGGTTTGCTATCTGAAGTAGTGTCTGCACCAGTTTTTCCGACTGGATAGGTGGCGATAATAACGCATTTTGTTCCTCTCTCTTGTAATCGCTCCGACAAGCCTTGAGTGTCGATCTCAGGGAAATTATCACTAAGGATCAAAGCAGGAGGTGAAATGCTCTGAGATTCCTCGTAGCCAAAGGCTTGAAATTTTGAGATTTGAAAGTCAGTTGTTGTCTTTGAAATTGACTTGATTACAGCACAACGATATTCTTTTCGTTTACTCCACAGAATTCTACGGCATAGAGTTGTTGCTCCCGATCCTGGCTCAGAGAGAAGAGTGATTGTTCTTACAGAGCAAGAATCACGGGCTAATGCTTTCAAAGGATTGACTGCCTGCTCAATCTTCTGAATTAGCTCTTCCTCGAGGGTCCTTTGAATGCTGTGGTTGTGAAGCAAGTTTACCTGGCTGACTTGTCCTCCTTTGTAGAATGTGTCCCTTGCTTTTTCAATTTCTTCCGTTGAATTTGTTAACCGAGGATTTGGGCAATAAATTTCAAGATCCTCCCAGGAGTGGATAATTTTGTTAAGTACCTCAATGGGACCTGTGATGAAAGGGAGTATCGTAGTAGCTCCTTTTTCCTGAAACTCAGTAGGTCCGACCATCATGCGAACAATTTCTTTCAGTAACTCCCACGATATATTGCTAATAGAGCAATCTCTGAGTCGTCTTTGTAAAGTGGGTTTTGAAGCCTTCATTAACGCATCTAAAACTGAATCATTCTCACTGATGATGGTGACACATTTCTTTGCCACGTCCCCACCAAATATGGTGAAACAGCTTTCGGATATGTCTGCCATCTCTGTGATGGCGTTCTCCCCAAGACCAAGGATAACAACAATCAGTCGCTTGAGAGGATAGTGTTGCTTGAAGGCGGACAGAGCACGGTAGAAATAGTACTTGGCTAAACACGTGATCCATTCTTTGTCTTGAAGATTCTCTGGTTGTAAAATCCAAGTCGTTCCTTTTGTGAACAAAGTGCAGTTTTTGTCATCAATCCAATCAGGTGAAAAGTCTTTGAAGTCATCCAGAGTTGTGATACTTGCTCTGGGAGCGTCATTCATCTCATTACAAATAAAATGTAATCCATCTTTCTTTGTGGCAGGATCAAACAAGTCAAAAACAGCCATCCAAGGAATGTTTTGGAGAAAAGATAAGTGAGGAGTTCCTCTGTACTTGGGAGGGACTTTGTTGGCAATAAGAATGTAATGATACTGTTTGAAATCCAAATCACACAATCGGTCTTTAACAATGGGAATGAACCTTTGAAAGTCTGCATCATCAGGGCGTTGTCCTAAAAGTATGGCATTATACACTATTTAGAACCTGTAAATTATCAAGAGCGAATCACTGACAGGATTTTACCGTTAAGAGAACTGTTACAATTATTGCAATCTCCCAACAAGGTCACTCGAGGGTCTTTAAGATTTTGGCCGTGTGGAGCTCCTTCCTGTGCTGCTTGGCCACCTGATTTGTTTAGTTTGATTTTTTTTTCACAACGGACAAAATAATAAACTAAAATCAGGAATGCGATCCTATATCCTTTAGGCGGTGAATGCTAATAAATTGCAGTGTAGCTCTTACATGAATTTGTTTAAATGAATGGCGTGGGGAGCTTCTAAAAGCTAAACGTTATCCCGTTTACACTTTTGGCTACTTTTGCCTCGGTTTTTGTTTGTGTCATCGAAACAATTTTATAGTTCTCTGATAGCCCTTTACAACTGGCCAAGATGGCGATTATCCCGGTGTTAGCATGTGCTCGGCAGAAGCTTGAAAAGCGTCAGGAACAATGATATCATATAGTGCCTTTTTGATTTATTTGGTCTCTATGTAATACAATTCAACGTGCGCGAAACGACTTCTTTGAAAATCGAATTGAACATGTATTTGAACCGTTGGAAGCGACTTACTGACCTATTGACAAATTATATTTAAAGGAAAACATTAACCTCATAATCTGTTACTGCACATTTACTTACCAACTGATAAGTCACTGGCACCTGGCAGAGAAAGAAGGATAAGAAGGGTTCATAATATGGCACTGCTACACGTTTGAAAAGTGCTATGTCGGCACTGTTCCACTCGGAGAGTATGATGACATTCAGGTAAGACGTGGGGCAAGTGAAAATGAACTAAAATCTGGGTCCAAAATTAATTCCCTTTTTGGTCTAGTCTGTTGAAATCCCCGAGCGTATTACGAACGAGATGCACGAAAAAAACTTAATGAGCGGAAAACTAAACGTGGTGTAAGAGGGGGAATTAGATACCTACAGAAATGAATAAAGACGCTCTCAAAATGTGCTGAAGTGGTAGTTGTAGAGTTGGGCTCTTCAGAGCTACTTATATGGGTAAGCGCGTTTTCTAAACAATCATGTATTACCTAATCTCTGAAACCTTCGCCTTTCATTTGAGAGCTGTAATAGAACACTTACCCGATGTTTCTCGTTTCCACTCATCGAACTTTGTCGTTAAAGGCTCTCTCACTTGCCATCTTACTTCATCTTGTTTCACACAAGCCGATGCCCCATTGGTCCTGATTGCCACATCATCAAGCTCATCGCCCTTTACTTTGAAGAGATCGTGAAGTCCTTTCTTTCCATTCGCATCTTTTTTCTCATCCGTTGTCTTCTTCTCGATCCAGCGTTTAGAGTAATAGACATTATCTTTGCAGAATCGCCAGTCTCTGGAAACCTCAATTTCTATCACATATGGATTGACTTTATCTCCTTTGCTTTTAACGGGAACGAAGTATAGATTTACACAGTCTTGCTCTCCTCCTTTTTGTAGTGGTCCACCGTCACTCTTGATGTGGTTATCGAGTAAATCTTGAAATGCTTTCGTGATGTCGTCTTTGATATCTTCAACATCGAGTCCAGTTATTTCTCCGTGTCGAAACTTTGAACCCTCTCTTTGATTATCTTCAACTCCAAAATAAATGACACCTTTTCTATCGCCATTTAAACAGGCACAAATGAATTTTTTTGCCTTTTCCATTATTTTCCATGGAAGATGTGAGGATGGTACACCTGCAAAAGATTTATATTCCACCTCTCGGTTTTCTATCGAATCCAAAACAAAACCTCTTTGATAGGTGAAGTCCTTTCCTACTGTAACTCCAAACTTCCTCCGAGAGCCTAAAGAAATATAAAGGAAATGTATATCTGTTTAAGTCAAAGATCTTGAGCTCGGGGCTAGAAAAGCTTGAGTAAAGGGAATTGAACTGTTAGATGAGCTTCAAGAAAAAATATAAGCTTTGAATGAAAGATAAATGAATGCAATGAACAGACCTCAACCTCTAGAAAAAGTTTTTTGTACTCGTAACCGGCGATCGATCCAGACAAAATTTTTTTATATTTTTGTCGACAGACAGAAACTGACAATACTAAAAGACACTGCTGCTTGAATTTTTCAGCCAGTAACAATAGGGCAAAAACTATCGATCATCTTAAACTGGACCGAGTTAAAAAACTCGAGAAAGAAGCTGATGAATTCGAAGTCACTTTGAATTCATCAGCTTCTTTCTGATGATGGATTTCGCGCTAGCGTTCCTTTCTAAAAAATTACCTGATAATCATATTAAACCACCAAATGATATTATAATTCCTACATGCGAACATGAAGGGAAGGATAGAAATTTTTTTAAGATTTAAGATTTTAAGTTTTGTTAAGTCGATGCCCTGCTTCGGATGCAGTTAAAATGTAAACACTAGGATTGATAGCTTACAGAAGATGTTTTGCAAGTCATGGATCACCCCCATGTTGACGAGAAAAACATTCTGGAAGACACAGTGACAGCCTTACGCATTGGTCAACAACGCCGCTTGGGCAATGGACTTTGAGAATTACTGATTATGGGATCAAGTCTGGCTAATCAAGGTGGCGTGGATTACAAGAATCCCTATGAGTGCAGTGCATCTTGCCACAGTGAGAATTGAAGACCTGAGTAGGACAGCATGGTGAGGCACAAAAGAGTTATCCGGCTTGCTCACTTACGACCCTCCAAATTTTCACAACATCGCCCATTTTGGTACGAGAAAAAGTTTAATGGTCGCATATCACTTGGGGCTTCATGAACATCAACAGGGTCAATGGAAAAGAAACTCCAGAGGCATGAATACCCATGATAAAGAAGCTTAACAACACGACATCCGCGAGAACGCAACATCGAGATACGCCAATTACACCCTTTACAAACCAACCAATCACAGAGAGGAAAACGTTTCTCTGGGTAACACGAATCTAAGTGGTTGGTAAGAGAAAACCACAGAGGTCTCTCTATTTAAAACTCTCAAAAAAAGTGAAATATTTTGTTCCACAGTACAGAAAAGTGCGGAAAGGCATATCAAACTCAACATGCCTTGTTTCTACCGAAGGCGTCAATGAACTTCCCCAGGTGCCAACCCTTACTAGCTGCTAATTGATAGACTCTATGCATACTCACATTTGATGTGCCTTGTGGACTGTAGAGTACCTCCAGAAAGGCCCTTTTCAACCATTTCCTTTGGTACTTCGTGTGGAATGTTCCCAGATAAACATGTATCCGAACTTACTCTCTTTGTTTCCTCTAAGGACACAGTGTCGGTGTAAGGATTGTTGTTTACATCGTTAAAGGAATTGCTCTTAGGCTTCTGAAAGCTCTCACCTTGATTTCTTCGAGTAGAAAGCGTTCCTTCTTGAGAGATGAAATGATATAGATAAATACTAAACTTCAATAAAATCGGAAAACATATTTTAACAAAGTTTTGGCGCAGGCTGATTCACTGTATGCCCTAATTCCACGGATCAACTCTTTATTTCTGATTTCGAAGACCCTGATTTATTTTTCCAAACAACTCCTCTGTGTTCCGGAAAAATAATCAAACGTTTTAGAGACTTTGCATCATTCGCACATTAGTGGTGAATTTTTAACGCGGCTAAGAATTTGCATGTTGATCGAAGCTCGTTATAGTTTTGTTGCGAAAATTGCATGTTGGTCGCAAAAAATCATGGTTTTGACAGGTTTGGCATGCGTTTTGTGGTAGCGAAAGCAGTCGAAAAATTTGGTAGCGAACTAGTAAAGGTGGGGGTGAACTTGTTTCACATAAGGGTGCAAACTCGCAAAGGTGGTAGGAGCAAACTTGCAGAGAGGTGAATTCACCATAAATCGTCTACATGAATTACTAGTCATTTATTTTTAATTGCTTGCTTTAGGGGAGAGGCTCACCGAACAACGCCTGTGGGAGAATTTGCTTTTAATTTAAGATTAAAGCAAATTGACTGAGGAGGATTCGTAGAAAGTGCGATTGACGGAAGGGGCTTCTTGTCCAAGGAGTTACTACATCACGGGCGACGAGCGGGGGAAGAAGAAAAGATAGAAATACAAGTGGTCAGCGGGGAAGCAAATTTAATAGATCATATAGAAACATATCAGTTGTAGTTGTGGAAAACAATGGTGTTGTAAAGCCGAAATGTCAACAGTATACTTCACTGTATAAAATGTTAAGCAGTTTTTCAAAAGCGTTGATTGCACATATATCTTTTACTGCTGTTATAAACAATGGAAGCATCGGAAAAGGCATCGGTGGCATCCAGAAAGTACCAAGAAGAATTATATTTACGCTTTGTGACTTGCTGCGTGACGTGCGTGACGTGCGTGATGAAAAAAAGAAAACCAAAGCCATGGTCCCCAAATAATTCTCCCTCCTAGCCCCAAAAAATTTTTAAATTTTTCGAAACTTCGCCTGTTCCTGTTCGTAGGTCCGGCCAAGCCTCTATGGTCATTGGCCTTCGTATAGCCGCTAACTACGGCTTATAAATACAGGCGTTTAGTGTTTACTTGTAAAACTCCCCGAAGAAGTCTACAACAGTTAGATGAAACGCGTCGGAGAGTAAAGAAATTTTACAACTACTGTTCGCAGAGTCCTGCTCACCAGTTTGGTTTTAAACATTTTTTTAAAAGAATTAGATGCGATGGCTATAGCCAGTTTTTCTAAGCAAGTTGTCTGGATATACCTTTCGTGCAGACGCTTACACAATATTTCACCTGCCGCTAGGTTCGGACGTTAAGTTTTTATCCCGATTGTATTTGTTAAATTGAATAGGAAAAAAATAACTTCGAAAACAGAATTATTTTAATCTTTTGAAAAAATGTCTCGTAAACGAGTGGCCTTGATTATAGATGTATAAACACATAAGCCTTAACTTGGCTGTTTCTTGAAGCTCAGTGTTTTCCTACTTGCCTTTTTTCACGTGAAATGGGGCGATTGAATATATATGAAAAACAATGAAAGAACTACAGCTGATGGAAATTTTAAATTTCTTATCTTCGGCTGTGGATACAAACAAATTATTGTAGAGTTGGTCAGCTTTTAATTTTTCCGGAATCGAAAGTCGAGATTGCAAAGTTCAAGTGAATAGCAAGCCTACTGTGATTAACGCCTTAAACAAGTCAAGATACTTTTTTTTCGTCATACAACAAGTTACATATTGTAAATATCATTCTTCTTGATGCCTTTCCCGATGTCCCCGTTGGTTAATATAGCAGTAAAAATATTGTCGCAGTCAAAGCGTTTGGAAAGTTGCTTAACTTTTTAAGTAGCAAAGTATAACTCGGTAACATTTTGGCTTTACAACACGACTGTTTTCTGCAAGTTACAAAACGTAAATTTAACTGTTCTTGATGTTTTTCCGAATGCCACCGATGCCTTTTCCGATGCGTCCATTGTTTCTTACAGCAGTAAAAGATGTATGTACAATCAACACTTTTGAAACATTGGTTAACATTTTAGTTCGCGAAGTAAACTGTTAACATTTCGGCTTTACAACACTATTGTTTTCTGCAAATACAACTGATTTATCTCTATATGAGGTATTAAAGTTGTTTCCCCGCTGACCACTCTTATTTCGGTGTTTTCTTCTTCCCCTGCTCGTCGCCCGTGATGTTGTAACTCCCCCTTATCCATCCGTGTTTCTTAACCTTTTAACTCCCAAGATCTCATTAGTAATTCTCCTTACTGTCTCCCATACAGTTCTTGTTAGTTTGGAGAATTTGTTATTGGATTAACTTATAATCCCCAACTGATATTTTTCTTTTTTCTCATCTCTTGCCTGCTTGATATTGTATTGATATTGTAAGGAGAAATTCTGTCCTGGTCACTCATGGGAGTTAAAGGGTTAATTAGTCGTTTCCTTGGGGGACAGGGAACAGGGGGAAGAAAATTGGGTTCACGTTTCTTTGTTAGACAGCCAAAGGTTCTTGCTTGTTGCAAGCCTTTGGGAGAGATACTGTTGTACACTGGTACCCATTACTGTTATGCAATTCAAACAGTCAATTTATCAGCACAAAACATAAAAGAAAGCATTGAGCTTCTCTTACGGTTGCTGGATGGAGGTCCTTTCTCTTTTTTAAGAGAATTCTGATCAGCTCTTAGGCCAGAAATTTCGTCGTTCTCATTGGGAAAGTTTCTCGAGGACGTCGCTCCACACTGATTCTTTTCTTCAGGAATGTCTCTCTCAGCTTCAATAAGTTCGTCATAAAAAGGTGAGATTTGGAATTGAGTGATGTCGACAAACGTTTAAAACGTGAAAATAATGAAGCACCAGTCAAATCGTAACGATAACACTATTAATAAAAATAACGATAACCATAGATAACGATAATGATAAGTGCGATGATTAAAAAAGTTAGGATAAGATGTAATAGAAACAAACGGACCAGGCCGAGACTTTCTTAATATTGACGGTTATTAAATTGAGATCTTCCTGATAATCACTAAATAATGAACGCTGAAAACTTCTTCCGCAGAGAATAAAATCAAAGGACAGATGAAAAAAAAAGAGAGGAAACTGGCAAATATAACAGACTAAAATAAACGTCAATACATATTCACGCATATCATATCGTATATGATTATTTTTCCTCTGTTAAGGCTCTCGTTCTTATCAACGACTTGCCGTTCTTCGTGTTATCTTCCCAAATAGATCTATCTATCTGAGGTCACCGAATGTGAAAATGC